TCTTCTTTCACAATCTATCGATAAAACTGTCGACAACGACTACATGACTATTTCAAAATTTTATGAAAACTGGCAACCCTGCAAATGTCATTTGACTCCGTCTTCAAAAAAGATAGACATTAATTGTGCGTCTTGAAGAACAGTAAGCGTCAAAGTAACGTACGAATTGGTTAAATATACAGGATGTAACGGTTAAGCGAGATTATTCAGTAGATATAGGAGATATCAAAAACCTTTAAACCGACATCGATAGTACACACACCTTCTTCGTCGTCGCTGATAGTAATGCAGTCGTCTTCGTTGCTATCCTTGTCTTTTTTCTCTTTGCTTTCACTTGCTGCGTCCTTCTCTTCTTTTATCTCTTCTTTCTTATCTTCTTTATTCTCGTCTTTCGTGTCTTCTTTCTTGTCATCCTTTTTCTTATCTCTTATTCTTAGGCGTTTACTGAAATAATTTATTTTTAGCTATAAATAACAATAATTGTGTGTATCGACTCTCGATTCAATCAATCGATCTTAATTTTGACAACTTTACACGATGAAGAAAAAAATTGTTTGCGTCATTTAAATCATTTATATATTAGTTGTCTAAATTGTGATAATACCGATTGCCAGTTCACAGTCGGTATGAGGTGTTGAATATATATGACATGTAAATAATCGATTAGAATGATTTTTTTCTGACCGTTCGATCTTTGTATTAATAATTATAACAAACTAGCGGAGTAATTTCACGTAAATAATAATTGAATATCAATTCAATAGAAATTTTAATACAGTGAATAGCGACATAAAGGTAACATAAGGGTTTTACATAAAGGTAAAAGGTAACTGGGTTACGAAATACTTTCATAGATTTTATTATATTAAATATATATATATATATATATTTCAATTTTTTTTCGTGAAATTACTCCACTAGTTTGTACTGCACTTTATTTTGATATAATAAAATATCGAATATAATTTATTCAATTTATATAAAACATAACCTCCGAAACTATAATATCTACGAATATCTTCAAATAACTGTCTCGGTGGCCGAACGGTTACCATGCCGAACTGCCACTCAAGTTCGATTCTCGGGCCGGGGGAAATATTTGTATGGCCTACATTTATTTCGCTCGTGAGTTTGGGTGTAATTTGCGTGTGTCCATGGCACCCGCGACACAGGGTTTCCCTAGTGCCGGGCGATGTTGAGTGTGTGCGTTATTTTTCAATAAATCCAGTATTCTCAGAATAGTAAATCCAAAACCAAATTTGTTCAGGAATTTTAACTCTATTTGCATAAACAGACGCATACAAATTATGACAACAAAAATTCATATATCATTCTTCGTTATAAAACGTAAATTTTGGACAATCAAGCAGAATAAATTTATCAGAGGAATGCACAACCTCTCGCTTCGGGAGTTATGTAGGAAGTAATACATGATGATTAACAAGCACGTGCACTCGCTTCGAGAATTGTGATGACAGTGTTGCTTGACGATGGAACGAACCAACGTAAGAATGGTGGAAGGGAAAGGGGGTAACCTATCACAAAGTCGAAAATTTTTTGTTCGAAATAACGTTTGTTAGAATTTTCATTACACCGAAAACCGAATTATAACGAAACAGTTGTTCTTTCAGGATATGTTGAATGTTTATCACCGACACGATTAGGTTCGGTTAGGTTAGGTTAAGTTTGACCCCGCGGCTCCGGCGCCAGGTGCGCGCAGGAACATCGTGAGGTTTTTAGTTGGTATGCTCTTGGGGATCGACATAGTCCCCAGGAGAGAGTCCCACATATCCCCGCCGTCTCCCAGCGGCGGGGAATGCGTAACGCATTTTCCTCACGATAATAAAAAAAAAAAAAGGTTAGGTTAAGTTAGGTTTAAAAGAAAAAACATTTTCCTCTCAAAATTACTTTCGAGTTATGAAATTTCGACTATGAAACTTCTTTTTTATGCTTTCGCTTAGTCTTGAGATATTAACACTATTTGTTTTTGTAAGTTTTTTTTATAATATCAAGTGACGGGACGAACAAGTCGTGCACCTGATGGTAAGCTACACGCCTGTCAATAACAGTTACAGTGCCACTCAGAGCTTTTAATCGCAAAGATCTGAGAAGCACTACCACTACACCACCCTGAGACATAAGCTGACAAGTCCCATGTGCCTGCAATTTCACCAGCACCCTTACCCTTCAAAACCGGAACACAGTAATGCTGACATTACTGCTCGGCGGCAGAAATAGGTAAGGTTGTACTTTCCTGGACGAACACTTTCACAAGGACTTTCTACTGCTACCAAAAGCGATTTGTATCGTTAAATTAATATTTACACTTTTCTTTTTGTAAATTTCTTTTTACTCTGCAATAATTTATTGTGCATGTAGTGTCGGTCTATAATAGATTGTGCACTTAGATTTAAGTTTTTTGCATCTATGATTCCGATCTTTTATTGATTTAACAATTGTTGACTGACCAAATAAACAAAAAAAATAAGGTGGGATGTCGATGAAGGTATAGTCACTATACACTGTATGTGTATCACTTGTCTGCTTCAATGTGAAAAACAACGTGACAACGTCATTGACTTACAAATAAATGGACGACGGGTCTAATACAAAAACCACGAAAAAAATGTCCCAAGTCAACCTATTCGAAATTTAAATTGTAATGTCATCGCAGTATCGCGCTGTCCGTAGAACAAATGAAGACTAAAGCGGAGTGTCGCGCTCTGTATACGATTTTAGCGCCTTACAAGTGCGGACACTTTTTAGCGCGGACCCGACGTCCATATAATTGTAAGTCAATGGACAACGTGAAAGAAATATTGTGTTACCTAAAAAACTTACTTAAACTCCGTGAGACCAAGTCCAATGAACCCCGGTTCGAAATCGCCATCCTTTTGTTCCTCCTTGTTTTGTTCGTCATCTTCCGAAGACTCCTCCTCCTCCTCAGACGTTTCTGTATTTTTCTTTCCACTCTTTCCACTCTCCTTCTGAAATATATGTTAATAAGTAAGAAGATATTGTCTGCGATATAACCGTGTAACGACGTTAACCGTAAAACTAACTATCACGTACTATCATTATTCCGCGGGTTAAGAGTCTATATTACCACAACTCGAATTCAATTTTTTCCCGTACTAATACGGTTCATTTTGCTTGGTCGATCGGCAGGGATACTGGCTTTATTCCAGAATTTATTTTTCTTATAAACTAAACTTAAGCCATTTGAAAAACATATATCGTATACTATATGTGTGTTCTGTTTAGTTCAGTTGATATAAAAAAAATCATGGATATATCGACTGTGAATTGGCAACCGGTACTATCTCAATTTTGACAACTTTACAGGACGAAAAAAATCATTTATATAATAAGAAAGAAAGAAAGAAAGAAAGAAAGAAACATTTATTCAGTATCCTTAAATTGTATGTACATAAAAATAAATTAAAACTAAAATTACTGATACTGAATGGGCACCGCTCAGCATGTGCCGTGGCTGAGAACAGCCACGTCGCTGGTATTATGCTAGCCCAGGGAGTGCGTCACAGGCGCACTAAACTAATACTACAAAAACATTGACTTATTTAAATTCGCAATTATATGCGTACAATGAATTTATGATGCGACAAAATGTGTGATGCTTAACTATATCTATACCTATTGTTAATTTATTTATAATTTATTTATAATTAATTGATAATATTATGCTATGTATGCAAACACCATTCAACTATCAAACAAACTTAATAATATATAAAAAAAAGAAAAGAAAAGAAAAACTACTTATTTCCTAACTATAAAGATTGCAAAAAGTATAACCGAATTAGGCCACATATACATACAAAATCCACTTATACACAAATGATACATCTAATATTTCTTATGTGTTTTTTTGCAATTCTAATAATAATAAAATTAATAATAATAATAACGCACACACTCAACATAGCCCCGCACTAGGGAAACCCTGTGTCGCGGGTGCCATGCACACATACATAGACAAACACAAATTACACCCAAACTCACGAGAGAAATAAATGTAGGCCATACAAATATTTCTCCCGGCCCGGGAATCGAACCTAGGACCTCTGCGTGGCTGTCCGGCATGGGAACCGTTCGGCCACGGAGGCAGTTATATAGCATCATATATATAGCATCTGGTTAATTAATAATTAATACAAATTACAAAATTTTAAATATTTTTATTAAACTAGATACCATATAAATGACGCAACATTTTGACAACTTTACAAAGTTGTCAAAATTGAGATAGTACCGATTGCCAGTTCACAGTCGATATGTAAAGTACTTATTGAATACAGCAAAGAAAAAAAAAGAATACAGTGGTTTTCTGGTAAAATTTCGAGATAAGTTTGTTGTTTTTGCATCGTAAAAATTTTCAGGAATCGTGTTACCATAATCAATATTTATCCTGAATTTTATTATATATTTTTTCCAAAGTGATTTGATTCAACACTTTCGCTGTTATGCGGAATCAACCAAAGCCATTTGAGGTTGTATCGACTCTTATGGCCACACAATAAACTAATTATTGTTCCACTGAAAAAGTTTTCATTTCCAAACCGCCAAAATTATTGACGATTTCTCCGTAAATGGCCTTCCAGAGTATCCCCCGTCGTATATAATAAAGAGATTAAAAGGTTTGGTACATTTGGTGCCAATATGCTGACCTTGTCAAGTTCCTTGTCCGTGTCAGGGATATCCTCTTCAAAGCCCTCTTTCATCTGTTCCACGACTTCAATATAGTCCAATTCTGCTAAGTATTCATCACCTTCGTTTAGACCGTCCTGAAAGAAATAGAAACAATTTTGGTCCGTGTGATATTAAAATTAAAAAATATTGTCTCATATTTTGTTTGTAGTATGTATATACAAATATTATGGGTGAAGTGAAGGAGTAGGCAGCGCCTTCTGGCCTGACCTTTACATTTTCTTCTCCATTAATGATACAGGTGAACAAACAACGCAATCAAAGTCAAAGTGAAATAATCTTTATTTCATAGGTAAGTAAATTACATTTAACATCGTCATACTGATTACACTCTACTGCTCATTCGTAAGGTAGATACCCCTGAGGAATATGAGTAAGAAACTCTAGGGGTTGCTCTTTCTAAATATACATTTGAATAGATTTATCATTACAATATTTAATTTAAACATCTTAGATCGAGAATACCTGTAAGAGCGAAACGGGTCAGTACAAAGGATTTTTGTCATCCAAGTACGCAGAAGTTGTATAATAACCTTTAGTATAAAGTTTTTCACAATAGTTTTAAACCTCGTAAATGGCAAATTTTGAATATCAATCGGAATCTTATTATAGAAGCGTACGTTGCCCCTTAAATGAATTTGAATATGGCCCAACCTCTATGTATCACCCGCTTTACCGATATAAACCAATAGATGGCGTCAGTTACGCAGTGAGTCACGAGTACTGTTGTGTAATTTTCCGGAAAATTCCAAATAGGGGAATTTTTTCCGGAAAATTTCCTCAAAAATAGGAAATTGTATATTTTGTAGGCTCTACGTTTAGAAATATCTTTTGTAATTTTAGACAGGTGTCAACGTCATAATAATATGTGGAAAATAGGCGGAAAAATATTGGAAAAATATTCAGAAAAATATTTTTTTTTTAATGGGATATTTTCCATGACCTAACACTACTAGCAAGCTACAAGCCACTTAATTTAGGTTGTAAATACTCGAAGTTTGGCAACACCTATCAATCAGGCGCGTCGGCATCGTTTCATGCGAAAAAGGTACATTCGTTCTAATTTCGAACATTGTCAGATTAATTTTTAGACATATTTATTTTGCCAAAGTCTTTCGTTCTTCATTAAAATAATATTACTAAAGGGTTTTTGAAGACGGACTAAAATGACATTCACAGGGTTGCCAGCTGTTTTCATAAAATTTGAAATAGTCATGTAGTGTTATCGAGTTCTTAGGTTTTCGCGATTGTTACACATAGGAAATGAAACTGTTTTTCCGGATTTAAATCGCGTATATTTGTTTTTTCAAACAAACCGACGTTTCGGACCGTCGCGTGAACAAGTCTGCAGTCTCCGAGCATGTCATGGATAAACCTACACATTCAATGAAGTTTGACAAACTCCAGGTCCTTGCAAAAGAAATCCGTTATCTACCCAGGATGCTACGAGAGGCCATTGAAATTAAAAAACATCCTAATTTCAACAGGGAAGATGGTTTCTCCGTACCACCAGTTTGGAATCCAGTATTTCCTCTAAAGAAAAATCTCAAACAGACATAAGACTGCAGTACTAGTTAATATGTTTTAATGTATTCTAATTTCTATTATTAATTAATAAAAAATTGAACTTAAGAAAAATTCATTCAATAAAATAATTTGTAAAACTTAATGTAGCGTAAATTGGAATGTTTTCTTTGTAAAATTAAAAATAAGGTATTTAATTAATAACTATTGTAACTATAGTGAAAAAATAGGGTGGTTTGCATCAATATTAGACACTCATTTGCATCAATATTAGACTGTACCACCTCAGTCAACCGTGACCATGGGATCTGTAAAGGGCCCGAAATGTCGGTTTGTTTGAAAAAAGAAATATACGCGATTTAAATTCGGAAAAACAGTTTCATTTCCTACATGTAGTTGTTGTCGGCAGTTTTATCGATAGACTGTGAAAAAATGTAAAACTTTCCCAAAATGGCTGAATTGTGAATGTTACAAGGTTCTAATGATTACTAACTGCGTTACTGCCTCCTTCAATCTTATTTTGACAGTTGGCCTACTAATATCGAAAACAATATTTATTGATATGCATTTTAACAAGAACAAGTTTAACAAAACAATTGCTTACCAGGTTAGCTGTAGCGTCCGTGAGTAGATTTCCTGCGTATACGCACAGGAATGATCCTTTAGGTACATCGTTCAGCGCACGAATACCCCAGCCGCGATTGAGCGTTTTGAATACCTGGTGAAATAAGTTAATATCATAATAATATGTTAATATGACCATGATCCAGCCACATACTTCTCACAGTTGAGCATGAGTGGGCTGTGTATTGATGATACAAAATGTGCACTATCAAACTAAACACATTTCTGAATCACGGTAACGAAATTAAACTTAGATTACTCAATTGGTCCAACCGAGAATCAAACGTGGGGCCTCATGTGGCACTGTTGGGTCTTCCAATAAAACTTCCAATCATTCACTAATAGTCACACTAATTTTCACGAGTTAAATCCATGGTTATGTACACAACCAATTTCTAAACGACACCACAATGTAAAAACAAGAGACAGTCAGATGAAACAAACTGTATTTTTCAGCAAAAAAGTTCCATTTTCAAATGTTGTAATTACTTTTTAAACATTGTTTACGTAAGTGGCCAGTTCCGGAAACTTATAGTGCGCCCTATGTATTACCTGTAGTTTTAACTGCAAGGGATGTTGAGCCACTCGGTTTAAGCACGTCGACTTGCACTTACATCTATAATGAGAAAGTTAATAATATTATTGTGTCTCTTCCAGTGTAATAGTAATAATAGTCTCTGAGCCGTCAGATGTTAGTTGAAAACCGAAAAGACTGAATATCAACCACCGTGCTGTCTGTTTCTTGCCTACGGATTGGAAAGTGAAAAAAAATGAAATGGATTTTCTTCCATTTTTAGATCCTTAATTTGATACTCTGCAGTGGAGGCAATTGTGCAAAATAGCTGCGCTTGTGTTGAATTTCTTTTTTCTTTCATTCCCTTTCTTCGGGTGAAAAACGAAGAATCACCGAAAAATAAATACAGTAGAAGTGGTTAGTTTGTGTGGCATGTGTGCCAACAGAACGCCAAGTTCCACATACTTAAGTACAGTTCGCCATTTTCACTTTGTAAGTTCTGGTCGTGTCAATTATCTCGCGCAAAACTTCGAAAATCGTAGAAAATGCCTTATTTTGCTACTCTGGGAGAGCAAAATGATTGTCGCACTTGTAATACTTTATTATTATGATGGCGTTTCATACCATAGTTCTTCAATTTTCTGTTTATCGTAATATCTTTTTTGTTGTAAGAAACGAAAGTAAACCTGCATTATGGTCGCTTCTTACTAAGTAAACATCTCGAAATCGTCGTCGTTCAGCTATTGACCGCTAGATGGCAACACATTGATTGAAATTTTAATATAAAATGAAAACGTCGTAACTTGCAAAAATTGGTATTGATGGTATTGAACTTTTAACGATATAATTTAAACCTTGTTTGCCCATCAGTACAGCGTTTATTTCTTTTTAAATTAGAAACTACGAACAATCTTTATCAAAAATCACAGTGTTGCAAATTATGAATGTGAGGCTTCCATTGTTTTTTCTTCCGTGCGAAGAATCAATAATCCGCGAGGATGCCTTGTAAAAAGGCGAAACATGCGTCGGGTACATTTTCAGTGGTAGTATCTGTGACTGTAGTTACAATATTATGCGGCGGGAAAATGAGAATATTACCTCCATGAAAAAAAAAATTCAGCACAAGCTGACCTTATGCGACTATCCGTCAGGCGAACCTATAGTTAATACTTCCCAGTAACTTATTAATAAAATAACTTAAACTAACCTGGAGTTACATTCATATATTCCAGACGGCAATGGCTCTGGTAATCTCTTGTATACATAGCCCACTTTTCGTACATCCAGGCCAATTGTTCTAGCGCCTTCTAGAGTCATCTTCCAACAGGCGCACTTCGATTTATCCTATACAGATTGTAACAATTGTATTATTTTTTTAACCGACTTCAAAAAAAAGGAGTTCTAAGTGACACTGCAACTGGTTATGGACAGGCGTGTCGCTTACCACCAGATGGACGACTAGTTCGTCCCGTCACTTGGTATTATAAAATACAATATTATTTATAGAAAAAATAAAATATTGTGTGTTCCTACCTCACAATCGTCAGTGCAATCGCATCCGCAGAGGAATTCCGGATCGATGTTAAGCGGGACTCCAGCAGTGGGAGTCCGCTCTGTGTTGTATGAACAAAATTCAGGCAAGGAGTCATCGTAGTAGTTGACACAAGGGACTGGTACGTTCTCTTTGCCATGGGATAAGTCCTGAAACAATCAACAACACTATGAACATATAGCGAAGCGATCTTGAGGCGTGGTCATAGATGGAGAAAGACCACACTCCATACAACTGTAGCAACTTATTAACCTACTACTACTTTTAAATTTTTTAATTGAATTGATATTCAATTATTTTTTATGTAAAATTACTCCACTAGTTTGTTATAATTGTCATCTCTAGCCTGGCTGGTAGCTGTAAACTGGGTGACGAAATACTTTCATAGATGGCGCTATGGCTAAAAAGTCGTTGTAAAACCAAATACAAAAACATGACAATAAGCACATGGAAAAAATTCGTGAGGTCCGCTGGTTCGTTTCGTGGCTTAGTTGGTGTAGCGTCTGGCACGCTATGCTAGAAGACGTCGGTTCGAATCCGGGCGGATCGAAGGATTTTTTCTGAGTGTACGATCTTTGTTTGTTGATAATTGCTACTTTTAATTTAAATTTAAATATCCTGACTCTTCCTTGTATGTATGTGAACGAAATCTGTAAGTTTGTCAAGCAACATCCACATCTATTAAAAAAACCATAGAAATAAACCCACGCGCGAAAAGAAACCCAAATAGACTTGTTGTAGAGCACGTACCTAAGACCACTCTGTACTAAAAAAGTCAAAAGTCCAAATTACACATGTGTTTAAATTTATAATAAACTACCAAGTGTAATAAAAAAACTGAGATACACATATGTCAGGAGCGCAGTTGTCACCGTAATGATTTGGCAGAATAGTTTTCAAACAAATTAAATAATCTATCTACCCGCCAATAAACTGTTACCAGTTTGGCGGGAGATAGACTATTGTATAATGTTTACTTTTTGAAAACTAAATAAATTTAAAAGAAAATGACATTTCGTCTCTATTTCTGGTTATTTAGAAAAATAATTTTGCATTAGTATAAAAGACTATGACGCGCTTTTTATAATTCTTGACATTTAATTTGTAAAAATTGTGAATTGTAACTTTCTTATTTATTATATGGTGTTCAATCAGGATTTTATCATTAGATTCATCATAATTTTTATATATTTAGTCTCAAATTGTTGCTACCGTGACGTTCCTTACTATGGTTCACTATTTCAAAAGTAGTATTTTCTATGTGGAATATCCTAAATAAATAAAAAGCCATTTTTAGAAGTCTACACAAAATTTGTGGTTAAATTATTCATTAGATGAACCTGTCCAGCTATACTCACATATCATGGCTTCAAAATACCGGTGATGTCCCGAAAACTTAAAAAAATATTATTTCGGAAGTTATGTGGAGTTGGTGTTTGTTTTTTCTTTCGTGGAATTAGTCTTTATGTACAACTAGGTTTTAACGCAAGTTGCAAATCCAACTTGCATATTATAATAAAGCCAGAAAAAAATAAAGTAAAAAATAACTATTTAAATGGCGATTTACCAGCCTATATGTGCCAGCGTGGCCAAAAAACGTTTGAAATATCAAGTAAGGCCTTTCAAAAAACAATCTAAAGAATTACTTAGCTGCAACGATTTGACTAGAATTTTATTTTTTTTAAATACCAAATACCATAAACTTTGGTCGAGGTTTCAACCAAAACTATTGTAGTGAGACTCATGCAATCGGAATGAAACGTTTTCTCTGATTCTTTTGTTAACAGGGACATGTCCCATTTTAGGGGTAAAAAAAACACTGTGCAGCGAGGTAACCGTGCGGCTACAGAGGCAGTAATGCTTCAATAATTTAACTAAAAATGAATATCTTGCCTTTAAATTTTTTATTGAATTGACATTCAATTATTTTTTGTGAAATTACTCCACTAGTTTGTCATTAATTACCTTTTTTCCGACAATGCACTTGTTAAGGACGAACTCGGCGAGGCAATGTGTGGAGGGGGTGAAGTCGAACAAGTCGACCCCCATTTCGGAGTTGATGTAGCGCAGGTAGCGGTGGAGCTCCTGCATGTTGCGCAAGCGACGGCCGCAGGGCGCGCGGTACATCACTTCCTTGTAGCCACGCATGCGGGTTATTTGCCTACGGGTTTTGAAAAAGATACTTTCATTTATTTCTTTGTAATACACAGGTTGTACATTTAGAATTTCCAGAATTTAGAAAGAGACGGGACATGACGTCGTGCGTCTAGCGGTAAGCGACACGCCTGTCTATAATATGTAGTTGCAGTACTACTTAGTGTTTTAAATTGTAAAGATTTGAAGGCCACTGCCCCCGTCATACTGAGGACGCGTACCTTTAATATCGTGACGACATATAGTCGTGTAGTCTAAAGTGTTGTGACTTGTATATTTAAATGAAGTTGTTCACAAATAGAACAACACAAATAACTGTCGTTTACGACTTTTTTAACGTTACTACGTCAGACTATCGCGACAATGGGAAGAGCTAGCACGACAGTCGTCAGACGATAAATAAAACGTCATGATAAATAAATAACGCACACACTCAACATAGCCCCGCACTAGGGAAACCCTGTGTCGCGGGTGCCATGGACACACACATAGACAACCACAAATTGCACCCAAACTCACGAGAGAAATAAATGTAAGCCATACAAACATTTCTCCCGGCCCGGGAATCGAACCTGGGACCTCTGCGTGGCAGTCCGGCATGGTAACCGTTCGGCCACAGAGGCAGTTATAAATGTGACGACAGATAATCACAGCTTCAAACGTTTCTATCGCGACAAGGCGGCTGCCGTGGACCGATAAATTGTCGTTACGATTTAGTGGGAACAGCTAGACACGACAGTCGTTCCACGATAAAATAAACGTCGACGACACAGTCACGACAGATAGTTGTGATATGGTAACAGGCTAGACGCGACAGTCGTCCAATTATAAATAAAACGTTACGAAGTAATGGGACGCGCCCTGAGACACAAATTGACAAGTCCCGTGTGCTTGTAATTTCACTAGCACTCACCCTTCAAAACCAGAACGCAGTAATCTCACATTACTGCTTAGCGACAGAAATAAGAATGGTGCAGTACTTTCGTGGACAATCTCTTTCAAAAGGAGCTGTATACGTTTTTACAATAAGATTCCGGAGCATATATTAAGATCATCATTTCCTAAGTTTAAAACTTACGTTAAAAGTACTTTAATTGAAAAATCATATTACAAAATTGCAGAGTTATACAAAGACGTAATGAAAGACAACATGAGTCTAGATTCCACACAATTATGATTCAAATTGTATTCCATATTTAAGTTTATTTGAAAAGAGCAGTCCCTAGAGATTGTTTCTCGTTCTTTTCAGGGAAGTAAGCGTAGTGAACGAGCAGAAGCTTAAAAAATGACGTTTTCAAGCATAAAAATTTTACCTATGCTATAAATGACTATTTAACTTTGACTTTCACTTGCTTTATTGTTACTAACTCTCAAAAATGCAAAATGCAAAAAAGAGATCGAGACTCCAAAAACCTTAATTAGAACTGTAGCAAGAAAATGGCTTGAAATGTATGTAGCTTACCTCTCCCATCCACTAAGAAGCGGTTTAGCCAACGGGTTGTAAGTTCTAAGATCGCCGAGTGCCAGTACATCAGTTCTCTTGCACTTGGGACTGCAAGTGTGTGGCACCATCTTGTGCGGTTTGACGGCGTTCTTTGGCGTGTAATACTGGAAGCGATGGTAATTAATTTATGACTATTTTATAATTAAAACACGATCTCGTAACATGGCATTTCTATCGTTAAAACTAATAAATTACAGATGGCATTGATATTGTTTTTTCTTGCTCAGTGTTAACGTAATAAACTGTTTTGTAGCTATAGTTAATTAATACAAAGTTCGAACAAAAAGAAAAATCCCGTCGATCTGACATAGAGTATATATTAATATGATTATTCTAGATATTACATGTCGTATTATATAGAATATACAAATTTCAAATATTTCAGTAAATTTACAAAAACAAAGTACAAGCAAAATTATGATAAATGACTGACAGTATTGTTATTGAAATCGATCTTTTCTTTGTGTATCAAAATTTTTCAGTGTTGTCGTTCAAACCATCGTTGCTACGAATTGTTAAAATTTTGACAGTGCTGTTGTTGAAACCACTATTTCTCTTAATTATCTGTCAAAAAGTTGAAGTTTAAACTACCGTCTTTAAATTGTTGATAGTACCGTTATTGAAACTTCTGTATCTAGTATCTGTCTAAACGTTGACAATATTGCCGTTTAAATTGTGGCGACAAAAAATATTGGCGAACCGGAAATATAGAATATCCACTTTCGCCTTAGACCGCCATCGGTAATTGAAACATTTATTCCTAATATATTTAACATTGAAAATTTGTTCTACCTACGACTTAAAAAATGAAACGAATGGCAGCGAAATTCTTTTACCCCGAAGACCTAGGGGGTGTACAATTGAGTCGCTTTGGATATAAAATACTTACAACCACTCTGCTGGTGACGTTGTCGAGGTTCCCTGGCTGCGGCTGCGGCGCCGGCTGGCTGGCCGGGGTCGTGGACTTCTTCGCCACGGCACGCTGACGCCTGATCTCCTGCACCACACATCACAAAACATTGTAACACCACGAAACAAATACATATCATAGCGTGCACTACTATGACGAGATCTACGGCACGGCCATTTTGCTGCTAGTAACGACATGGTCCACCAGTCGTCGCTACCAACAAAAACCTGGAATTATTCCTTCCTAATCCGTGGCTGAACCGTTACCATGCTGAGCTGCCACGCAGAGGTCCCGGGAGCGAGTCCCGGGCCGGGAGAAATATTTGGCATGCCATACATTTATTTCTCGTGATTTTGTCGATTAAAAAAATAATAATAATAAAAATAAGGTGATAAATCATTTACATTTATTTGATAAAGGGTATATTGCCATATCCCTTGATAAAGGGTATATCGCCACGACGTATATTGTATGGATAGAAATTAGGAATTTTTTGGAATTATTGGTATTACTATAGTGTGTCTTTTTTCAAGACTGAGTAAAATCACATTTGCAGGGTTGTCAGTTTCATAAAATTTTAAATAGTCATGTAGTTTTTGTCGACAGATTTATCGGTAGATTGTGAAAGATGGTAAAATTTTGCCCAAAATGTCTGGATTGGGAATGTTACGACGTTCCAATGATTACTAATTGTGTTATTGCCTTCTTTATTCTTATTTTGACATTGGACTACTAGTATCAAAACCAATTTTTATCCATATTCATTTTAATAAGGACAGCCGGATTGGATTATCTATATCTAATTAAAATGAAAAACTTTAAAATATCGACCCCCTCCTACGTAAAGTATCGTATGTCCAAATTGCCAAGTTTACAGGGGAGCGTTTTAAAGTTCTGAATTTCTGAATGAATGAAAAGTTCTGAATGAAAGAACATAGATCATCTAACCGATATCTAGGATTTTATAATACTCTATGTGAGTAACGAGATTTGCTGAATAAAACTGAGAAATGCTAAAGTCACGTATTGTGCTCATTTCAGTGAATTTAGAACTTTAAAATGCTTCCCTGTAAACTTGGCAATTTCGACATACGTTACTTTACGTAGGAGGCGTCGAATATGGAGACTTTAATATATCGACTGTGAATTATGTCTATTAAAAATGCAGTCTTCACTTTGCATGTCGACTGTGAACTGGCAACCGGTACTGTCTCAATGTTAACAACTTTAGACTATGAAGAAAAAAATTGTTTGCGTCATTTACATAGCATCTAATTGATTAAATAAAAATATGTAGTTTTTAAATATTTTTATTACACATGCACTACGTATTTTTATTTAATAAACCAGATGCTATAAATGACGCAAACAATTTTTTTCTTCATCGTGTAAAGTTGTCAAAATTGAGATAGTACCGGTTGCCAGTTCACAGTCGATATGCAAAGTGAAGACTGCATTTTTAATAGACATAATTCTAAATATAGTGTATGAATGATGTTACAAAAATTGACAATTCAAATAAACCTATGTCCAGCATTTGTCGTTGCCGGGTCTGATTCAAATGAAACGAGTTCGGTTATTTATTTCATAAGCGTAACCAATATCCAGTCGATAGTCGATAGAATATACTAGCTGCGTATAAACGCGCAGCACTTTTGCGCAATGTACTGTCATATTATTCCATATTTAAAAAAAAGATTATAAGTATAGACAAAAATGTTACCTCTTGTTGAGCTTTGTTCTCCGCTTCAGCTATCACCTTGGCGGCTTCCTGTTCGTCTGACCTTGTATATTCTACGTATGGCATGTTAGGCTGGGAACAAAGATAAAATAGTCAGGATTGTTAACTTGTAAAAATATCGTAAGAACGCCTATCGTACGAAAGTCTACCAGTGAGTCGGTCAGCTGTGACCACGGGACCTGTAAAAGGACCTTTTTATGTATATTATAGGGGATAATATTATTTGATTCTCAAAGATATAATTGATCTATTGTAATGTGCACTTTTTTATATAAACCATTGACCTACCAACAGATGGACGTTGGGTTCGCGCTAAAAAGTAGATGCGGACTATAGGGTGTTAAAATCGCATACAGAGGTTGTCAATCATGCAGTACTATATAATAATAACATGTAAAAATTACAGTCAATAATAATAATAAGTAATTAATTTTGCAGTAAAGTGTAGAAACAGGATTTTGTATCATATTTTCACTAAACAAATATATTGTGTTGTATAGTATTTAAATTATATATAAATGAATCGTAAATAAAAATTACAAAAGGAAACAAAATAATAAAATAGCTAACTGTCCTTTTTCTACACATTGCATGAGCAAAAGATGGAAAGGGACCCATTACGTCAATTTCAAAAAGTTTATATAAAACTTCTTGGTCACTTTCAATTATTGTTCGAATCACAAGCGATTGAAATATTTAGAACAAAGAAACCGTAGAGTTGCTTTGATTTTAATCTTATTTTTAAAATGATTTTTTATTAAACGTTAGCAATAACTAACAAAATATTGTTGTACTCGTTTTACGACTTGGGATTACCTATCAGAAGTCAGAAAATACATTTGCCCGAAACAACGTTAGCTCGAATTTTCATAATGTCAAATGTATTTTTTTAGGAATATTACAAAACAAAAGCTAATTTTGGCTTTGTGCGAAGCATCAAAATTACTTGAAAGCGTAACGGTTTTGTTATAAATCGGTTTTCAGAATTACAGATATTTGAGTTTACGTTTAGATTTGTACAAAATTCGACATAATAATATATTTATATATATAATAATAATTAATATTTACAATGAAGGCTGCTCCATCACTCTTGTGTTCGAGTAATTTTCAGTCGAAGCTAAATATGGTTCATTTTGTTAAGTTTCCAGTAGATGCAGAATACGGTGTTTTTGGGGCGCTTAAATTGTTGCAAGCAAAATTAGGCAGTACTGCAATGACATTACAATTTAAATTAAATGTTTTAGTTTTTTTTATGTTTCGTTACATGTCACTACGTTTGTATAGATTAACTTCGGCCATTTTTTTTCCTGTTTTTATATTACACCCGACGTCCAAATGAACGATTTTTTTAATGTTTGATGTAATATATAAATTGTTCCGTCTATATTAGTTGATCTACGGATAAATTATAAATAAACTGCATTCAAGGTAACACTATTATTATGTTTAAGCATACTAAATTAATATGTGGTATTCAAAAATAATATTTGATCCTCTTTATTTACTATTGGTCTCTTCTTTTAACGATTGATGACATTTATAACCAGTGTATCTTTTGATATTGATCTCCTAATAAATCGTGGTTGCTTGATTGCGCCCTCCATTCAGTAGGTTAAGTTAGTATATGAAAAGCAGAAGCTAGTTCGCTTGCCTTTCCGAACATGTTATCAGGTCAAATTATATTATAATTAAGACAATATTAGTATACAAATATAATCAACACTTACTCAGTTTTAAAAACAAGTATCAAAATTTTATCAATAAAATAATTTGTAAAACGTAACGTAGCGTAAATTGGAATGTTTCTTAGTAAAATTAAAAATAAGGTATTTAATTAAAAGCTTTTGTAAGTATAGTGAAAAAATATGGAAACATAACTGGTTGATGACTGTATCACCTCAGTCAACCGTGACCATGGGACCTGTAAAGGGCCCAAAACGTCGGTTTGTTTGAAAAAACAAATATACGCGATTTAATTCCGGAAAAATAGTTTCATATCCAATGTGTAACAATCGCGAAACCCGTACTCGATATCAAAATTTTATTTCTAATGCTCAATTGTCTTAGTTTTGAGGACCAAAATAAAACAATCGAAGTTAATTTATATCAATCAAACATTTTTTGCTAAGCTCAGAGCAGATTAAAATATGGAACGATTTAATTTGTTTTATGTCTCAGAGAAAAAGGATCAATCGTTAAAAAAGATGTCCGTTTAGATTTTTTGCCTGCTGCTTTTGCAAATTTAAAATGATCATTTAAATTACTAAACTTTTAAACATATAATAAGTTCCATGTTTAAAAGTAAACAGAACAGAAAATAAATAATATATATATATAATACATAGTGTTTTGTTTACTTTAAAGCATGGAATTTATTATATATACATTAATATTAAAAGTAAAAAAATGCTACTTTGTCGCTTACAAGAGCTTACGTGTGAGGTATCAAGATATATTTGCTATTACGCAAAGTCTACTAACAGTACGACGTACCTTATTCTGCAGTCTGTTTCTGGGCATAGGTCTAGCGCGGTGTCTCTCAGCGGCCTGTAGCTCGAGGTACAACGGCGCGAGGCGAGTAGAGCCGCGGTATATCCATTCTCTTCGCCCATCTGTCTCGAATAACACTTTCACGAGGGACGCGTCCACTTCCAGTACGCGGCAGGACCACCATTTACCTAAATTTTTTTTTTTTTATATCAAGTGTGTTATATAACCCTGTATATACTATCTTAAAAAAATATTAATTATTACCATTCCATTCAGCTTTCAAACTTTGCCCAGTATGTAGCCGCACCATCGGCCTCTCGGGATACGCGAGTAAATACTCCTTGACGAATTCCCGTGAGAATGGATGGACCTCCTCCCAAACAAGAGGGCAGGACTCTGACACTAATCGGGTATCCACATGGTGTACGTATTGGGCGTAGCCGTCGTCGAAGAAGACTAGATACCTGGAAAGAAATTAAATACAGATTGTACGTACTAATTTTCGTGTCAAATTGGTACAAAGATTGGCTTCGCGGACAATCAATACAGCAACGCTCTCTAAAATTTGACAGATAATTAGCAGAAACAGTGGTTTTAACGGCAATGCTTTCAAAAGTTTGACAGAAACAGTGGCGTCACCAGAAACGTTGTCATAATTTTGACAGGCAATTAGTAGGAACAGTGGTTTCAACGGCAATGCTTTCAAAAGTTTGACATAAACAGTGGCTTCACCGGAAACGCTGTGAAAATTTTGACACAATTAGTAGATACAGTGGCTTTAGCGGTAATGCGAAAGTTGCACAAATAATTATTCTTTAAACGCTTACACCCTGAAAGACAAAATATCCATGTGACCGGGCTGTCTTTTGCCGTCAAAGGCAAATAGTCTTTATTTCACAGGTAAGCAAATTACCCATTTGAAATCGTCATACTCATTAAACTCTACTGTTCATTCGTAAGGCAGATTCCCCTGAGAAAAATGAGCAAGAAAGGGGTTGCTCTTTGTAAACATACATTTGAATAAAATATTTCATTTAAACATCTTAGATCGAGACTATCTGCAAGAGCTAAATGGGTCACTACTGTAGACTAAGCATTATGATTTGTATTAGTGCTGGCTGAATGAAAATAGGTTTGCAATGGTAATTATATATAAAAAAATAGTATTGTAAAAAAAGTATATCTTGATTGTTCTAGAAGAAGAAACTTCGATCTGAATACATTTAGTAGTTTTATTTATGTTTATTTTCCTCGTTTCTCATTGAAATGTGCCTCTCGCTACGCTAACCCACGGCTACGACCCTTACACTACCACAGATTTTTGTCATTCAAGTACGCAGAAGCTGTATAATAAATAATTATCGTTATACTCCGTCCAACCATCTATTTAATTTTTGACAGCTCGAATTCTAATCAATTAGTGATGTCCTAATGCGATTTCCATTCGATTTTTTTAATAACAATCCATTTTATTTATGAAGAACTTAAAATCGTGAATGTGAGCGGGTTCAAAAAAGAAGATATTGTTTGATTGGGATAGTGATGCCGCGTTTGACAATTTATGTACTCAAGAATGAATAATTATGCTCTGGCCACACAGAGGCGGCCATGGAAGTGTGATAGGGTTCATATGAACTCGTACATTACAAAAACTCCCGCGACCGGAACGCTTCCGCGGCCGCCTCTGTTTGGCCTGAGCATTAATGTTAATAAGGATTCAAGTGATGATTCTCGTTCATATGGCTAAGAATCCGAAGATTCATTATAATAAACAATAAAAATTTATTATAATTTATTTAATTTCATTGTAATTTATTAGACAGGTACCAAAATTTATCAACTTGAATAATCTTCGATACATAATCTGTTGGCTCGATAAACATCGGAGCTAAAGAGCACGTTGCTTCACCAAAATTAAAAAATAAGAGTCCAAAGTATTGCATTTTTTTGCTATGATTGTATGTAACTACGGAACTTCGGAAGCATGCATATGTTTAAAGTTAAATAAATAGTTGGACGGAGTATAGCCTTAGTAATTACTTAGGTAATTGGAGATTTCTTTAATATTGTCCGAGGTACATATTCTAGCCTTACCTGTATTTATTATTTATTGATAAAAAGATCAAACAACCACAAAGGTAAATTCCATCGATCCGGTTGGACTCGAACTAGCAACTTTTTCGCCAAACCGGGGCTATCGCTCTCAAAACTGAGCTACAATACGAGTCAGCAAACCTTACAAATTTATCTACGTGCTTGTATCAATAATAACAACAAACCAGTGGAGTATTTTCACAAAAAAAATATAATACCAAGTGAAGGGATGAGCATGTCGTGCAAGGATCTCAGGGGCACTGCCACTGCCCCCGTCACCCTGAGCATTGTAATGCTGACATTACTGCTTGGTGGCAGAAATATAGCAGTAAGATGGCAGCACTTCCCTGGATGAACACTTTCACAAGGAGGCTCTACTGCGATTTGTATTATTTGTTCCATATATGAATATCATGGTATTACTACACAAAACTTGTTTACACAAATAATAATATTCAATAAAACAAATCTTACCTGTATTTATTAACAGGGTTGGGCATTTCCGCCACGACGCCAGAGTAGAATGCTTCCCGTAGCACCGTGTTCTTGTCCTTAAACAGAGCTATTACGCGAGTGCCTGAAGAGAAAATTAATTCATGAATAAAAAACAATAAATGTTATATTTAAACAAAATAAAATCCGTAAAAGGAAAGACACTTATTAACATTGACTTATAATAGACTTACAATTGACTTATAATGACTTATAATATAATAACCTGCATATATAAGAAATAATGTGTATTTGTTGTATATTTATTTATAATCAGTGGATTATTATTAATAATAATAATAGCGCACACACTCAACATAGCCCCGCACTAGGGAAACCCTGTGTCGCGGGTGTCATGGACACTTTCTGTTGAATAAAAGGCTAAGAAATGTTAAAATATTGGTTTTTATTATATAGAAATAAATGCTCGTTACACTTGTAAAATTTTTGGAAGAGCGAGTAAAATGGCCACCGGTGTTGACTACAACAAAAATTACCGGTATTGCTATAATGAGACTAAACTACTAACTAAACTTTTACGTTCTGTACTGAACACACACATAGACAACGACAAATTACACTCAAACTCACGAGAGAAATAAAAGTAGGCCATACAAATATTTCTTTCGGCCCGGGAATCAAACCTGGGACCTCTGCGTTACAATCCGGCATGGTAACAGTCCGGCCACAGAGGCAGTTAAGCAATTGCAGTATCGGTTGCTATTTTCCGTACTGTAGTACATGATGGAATAAATCGATACCTCCAATTTACATAAGTCAACTGAATTTTTGGATCTGTTCTGTTTTTATTTTGTTTTTTGTTTATTTTTTATCACAATATTCGTTTTTGTTTTTCTTTGTTTTTTTTTCACAAAATTCGGGGAGCATAATATTAGTAAGTAAATATGACTATAAAAATAATAGAATATGACCAATAAATATCGAATATAGTACAGTATAATTCCACATAAATTACAACATCAAGCTTTTGAAAAAGACTATCGGCTGATATCGGGTTCGTCATCGTTGTCTGTGTCACTCATACTTGTGTGACATTTGTCACTAATTAGTCGTGCGATGGAACTCGAACAGCGTTCTATAAATAAGAAGGTAGCCGATTATGACCGGTAAACTTTTTCTAAAGCTCGATAAAAAGGTAGCCGATTATGGCCGATAAACTTTTTCTAAACTTCGATAAAAAGGTAGTCGATTATGACCGATAACCTTTTTCTAAAGCTCTATGAGAATGTACCCAATTCTGGCCGATGATCTTTTTCCAAATCTCTATCAGAAAGTATGAGATTATGACCAAAGAGTTTTTTTAAACTCGCTTAGATGGTACCCGATTAAGGCCTATAATCTTTTTCTAAAGCTTTTTCTGAATGTAGCCGATTATAACCGATAAACTTTTTCTAAATCTCGATCGGATTGTAGCCGATTAAGACCGATAATCTTTGTAATATTTATGGCCTGGTGTTGTTGTATCACAGTTACTACAGATATGGCAGACCCGGTAATAAGCGAATAGGGAGACAATTTATACTTAGACACTTACCAATTGTCAATCTCACAGAGGCAGGTTCCGCGTAGGCCAAGCATCGTGCTGACAATATTTTGTAGGCGTTTTTGTGATTTTTACTCTCAAACTTCACTTTGCACATGGTGAACGATTGTGATTGTTGCTGAAATATTGAAAAATTAGGAATGAAATTTAATATTTTAATAATACGGAGTGTTTTTTAAATTGAAAATCCGAAACCAAAGAAGATACAAGGAAACTGTCGTAGGAACCATTAAGGCTCAACTCACACTGGCGCATAGTCGACGCGTCGCGACGCGTCATGTTTTTCGCCTATAGTATATTCATCTCTATTTTCCCATAATTAAGGTAGAAATTTGTGTTATGCAAATATGGAAACGGGCGTCGACGCTTGGATGCAGTCGAGCGGCTCTGCGCGTCACTTAAGCGCAATGAGGCGTTAGACGCAGGCGTTAGTCTTATTTTTTTGTGAAAACAATTTTGGCATAGTAAATTTTTTGGTCAAGCGTGTGTTGTCCATAAAAATGAATAAAAATAGACCAACATTTTTTTAGTGCCGATCGACTCAGTTTCATGAAAGGATCATTTCATTGTATGGGACGAAAACAATCGGGACAACAGTTGGTCAAGTTTCATAAAACGTTTTTCGTACAAAATGAATAAAATTGACTAATTTATCATGGGTGGCACCGTTAATACCAAAAGATAAGAAAGAAGAAAGATCTGCAACAAGCACATAGAGAAATTAGTAATGGCTGCTTAATGGTTCCTTAGCTCAGTTAGGAGAGTAGCCCCGGTTTGGCGAAAAGTCTCTGGTTCGAGTCCAGCTGGATCGAAGGAGTTTTTCTTTGTGTTATTTCGATCTTCGTATCAATAACAATAAGGTATTTATAAATAAAATAAATACTAGATAACATCACATACGTTGCTCTGATCCCATAGTAAGTAACTAAAGCGCTTGTGTAATCAGAATTCTATTTACTAGGCAACAACATTTAAATTTCTCTGAATCATACAACCGCGCGGACCACCACAAAGACCAAATTCAAGCCACGCTCGCCCGCGTGCCCGGGAGGCTCTTTTTAGTTAAAGCGTTAAGGCTAAACAAATAGAGCGTATTTTCCCATGACAGACGCATGCGGGGAATCTAGCCCGGGATCTCTGATATAGTGACACTATGAAAACCGCTATGCAAGCCACTTAACTACGGAGGTTTATGTTACTATTAGATCTGAGGGGCCCGTCAGCGAGCGTTAGTAAATTTGTAATTTCACCAGCATATGCTCATTGTCGCGGACTCCTTGCAGTTTTATTTTATTTTCCTATTCTTTTTGCTGTGTTTTTGTTTTGAAATGATGTGATATTTATTACATTTCTGTCATATTTGTGTTCATTTTGTCGCCTTCTTCACTCCATTCTCATACAGTTCACATCGTCCACTTCACTCATATTACCACTTGGCAGCAGAAGAAAGCAAGGTGTCAATACTCGCCTGGACGAACTCTTTTACAAGGAGCTCTACAGCTACTATTGTAGTGTAGGCCATTAATACGATCACTTTTTTATATAAAAAAACTGACCTCAAAAGTTCGAAGAATTAAGCCGCAAAGTGCGCAAAACCGGATTCATCCCCTAGTTTGCCACCCTTAAAGGTGGAATGTTTTCTTCAAATTTAAACGGGACCAATACTGAGATACCCTCTTTCCAACAAAAAAAGAATCATCAAAATCAGTTCACAAATTCAGTTATCGCGTAACATGCATACGAAAAAAATACAGTCGAATTGAGAGCCTCCTCCTTTTTAAAGTCGATTAATAAAAACAAGAAGAAATGTGCGTGATATGACGTTTCAACTGAGTAGAACGAAAGTTTAAGCCAAGATAAGTCGTCAGGTACTTACAACAGCTTTCGGCAGAACTTCGGCAATTTTCGCTTTCAGCCAAGAACCAAAGGCATTCCGCATGGCGAATATGGCCATGCCGACACGCAGTGGCGGGTGGACAATATCGCCCGATGGCGGCAAGTCAGCTGGAGCCGCTTCCGCTGACAGGTGGACAACAGATACATCTTTCTGTTGGGAATTCAAAATTCTGATTCTGAGAAAATTCTGTTTATTCCATACGCATTGACTTACAAATAAATGGACGACGGGTCTAATACAAAAACCACGAAAAAAATGTCCCAAGTCAACCTATTCGAAATTTAAATTGTAATGCCATCGCAGTATCGCGCTGTCAGTAGAACAAATGAAGACTAAAGCGGAGTGTCGCGCTCTGTATACGATTTTAGCGCCTTACAAGTGCGGACACTTTTTAGCGCGGACTCGACGTCCATATAATTGTAAGTCAATGTCCATACGTAAAATTTTTACACTTGAAAACGTCATTTTTTAAGCTACTGCTCGTTCACTACGCTGACCTCCCTGAGAAGAACGAGCAAGAAACTCTAGGGATTGCTCTTTTCAAACAAACTTAAATGCTACGAAATACACTTTGAATCATAATTTGTGGAATCGAGTTCGTTAGAAGCCGAAGGCTTTAATGACTTCAGGTTTGCAATTTTTACCGCCTGTACTACATACAATGTTTTTCATCACGTTTGCGAGGAAATAGATACAACGATAATTTAGTTCTTGTATGAATAAACATCGCTTCACAACAGAACATTTAAGGATTTTGCATCCAAATTCTAAAAACACTGCAGAATTTGAATTCACATATTAAATATAGTAAAATATAGTACAATTTTAAATTTTTATTGAATTGACATTCAATTATTTTTTGTGAAATTACTCCACTAGTTTGTTGTAATCATTAATACAAAGATCGAACACTCAGAAAAAATTCCTTCCATCCGGTCGGATTCGAACCGACGTCTTCTTGCATACCGTGTCAGACGCTATACCAACTAAGCCACGGAACGAACCAACGGATCCAACGAATTTTTCTATGTGCTTGCGTCGTGTCTTTGTATTTGGTTTTTCAACGACTTTTTAGTCGTATAGTTCAATTGTTTAGTGTTTAGTGTTTACGTAATGAAAAAGCCCGTGTGCCATTTAGAACATTACAGTCAACTTTGCCTGCATGCCACGACACTGTTTACGAGCAAGTGTGTCATAAACTATAAAAGAGTGAAATCACACTACACAGAGTTTTGAAGTGAGAATATGTTGCCGGTACAGTGCTTTGAATTTGTGTTTGGATGTCTCATTCCGTGTATGTGGTGGAATATATTACAGCACTTTGAGACGAAATATTAGAAACTTCCCCTAAAAGTTTCTAAGTTGTGGTACCATAAGTACACTAATTCGGGCAGATCTCCCTCTCTGAAGCGTACGTTAACACCAGATAAAGCTTTTCATAAAGATATTCAGGTGTACCAGGTAACAGCTAAGCTTGCGGCTTCAAAATGTAATAAATCAATAAAAAACACTTACGTCGTCATCGATTTTAGAGTCCGTTACGGATGGAGGCGGTGCTTTCGGTTTTTGTGAAGATTTCTGTGAAATAAAAAAAAATATAGAACGCGAAGTGTTTTTCTAATATAGTATGACCGTTCAAGCTGGTCTGCGCCTTAAGTACCGGCGCGGATTTTGGATTTGGAGGAATAATTTATATTATAAGAAACACAACTATCCAGTGAGATAAAAAATAATACTTGTACATTTTACTGTGTGTATACTGATTTTTCCAACAATCAGTAACAGAGCTCATTGACCACAAAATTTATTAGGATGGGAGAAATTAGCTAGGCAATCAATGTCCAAGAGATAAACTAGGATCTTATTGAATTGACCTCAAATAAATGCGTTTCCTTTCTTTCATTGTCAGAGATTGGCCGAGATCTTAACGTTTGAGATTTGATGTGATCAGTGGCGGAATTGCAGTCTTAGCTGCCCTAGGTCCCAGGCAATGTAGTCAGTACCAGCCGCCCCTTTCTCCAGCACTCATCATATACTGGTAGACTACATAATGAATTTACTTTATTGCCAACTTTTGTCGAAATCAATTCGAAATTCAGTTAATTGTAATAACTGCACTCTGTCTATTGGTGGAAACCGCATGAAAATCCGTTCAGTAATTTTTGAGTTTATCGCGATCAGACAGTCAGACAGACGCGGTAGTGATAATATATAGCTATTATACATTACATTACAGATATGTTACATATCTATATTTTATACATAAAATGTACGAAAGTGACTTAGGAAGATTATTGTTATACGATGCGATGCAGCGCGGCCCGCCATAATGTGCGTGAGCTTTTAGAATATTTAGGTACTTTGAGTTATTTCTTGTCATCATAGTGAATTTTTTGTCACGATTGGCCGCCCTAGGCCCGGACCTACTAGGCCTTAGGGCAAATCTGCCACTGGCTGTGACCTAATTGGGCGAGAGGTTAGCCGGGCCCTTGTCGTCCGAATGATTAGCCGAAACCTCATTGTCTTGAAAAATTAGCTGGGACCTCATCGACCGAGGGATTGGCTAGTATCTCAGAGACTGTGAGATCCGGTATACAGTTAGATAGACTTACCTGTATTGTATGTTGCATTTGCTTATCTTCCAAAGGCTTGTATCCGAGTGGTATGGCCGTGCGCTTGGCCGGGACTTCGGTTGCTGAAGAAAGACTGCGCTTGCGGTGTGTTGACTGTGTATGTAAATTATAATATACTTAAAAAACGTTTTAATATACAAGCTATATGTTTTCCTATAGTATATAAGGCAATAATATACTAGTATAATATAATAAAAGAAGTAGTAGTAAGACATAAACATGTGCATCCGTACACGGCGCGCGACAGTCGCACACACTTACAAGGCGCACTGTTATTTTTGTATGGAGTTACCAGACGTCTCTTTTAAACTAATAAATAAATATTAAACAATATCACACACGTTGCTCCGATCCCAAAGTAAATAACTAAAGCACTTGTGTTATGAAAATTGGAAGCAACGACCGTACCCAAACATCCAGACTCAAGATAGTAAAGTATTTCTACATTGACCCGGCCGGGGATCGAACCCGGGATCTCAGAGATGTCGATACCGTGAAAACCGGCGTGTACTCAACCACGGAGGTCGACTTATTTTGCGTAACTAATAAATTTAAAAAATAAGTAAAAAAAAGGTCAAAGTATTTTGACTCAGTCATAAATATCAATTTTGCATTAAAAACGATCCAAAAGACGGTTACCTCATTTCCGAACTTCTCAGCGTTCTCTGTGCACGAGTACTGTAAAATAAATTTGTAAAGAGTTAACAATTACCCTGTACCGATTATACGCTCCACTACTGATTACGGGTCTTCTAGAAAAGGACTAGCCATGATCGGCGACGCTAACGATGTTTTTGAAGGGCTGTGAACCGTCTTCGATATAAATACTTCATCACGTTTGTTCCCTTCACCGTTAATGAAAGGAATAGCTAGTAAACATCGTACATTATTTAGAAATTAAAGTTCATAGTCACCCTATATAGTGTGGAGTGACAAGAAAGGATAAGATAAGGAATGAGTACATCAGGGGAAGTATATAGTAATAGATTAGCGTGGTATGGACATGTCATGCGGAGGGAAGAATGTCACGTGATGAGAAGAGTGCTAGGTATGAATGTGGAGGAATATAAGGGGAAAGGAAGGCCAAAGAAAAGATGGATGGATTATTAAGATGACATGGATAAGAAAGGTGTGAGTATAAAAACTGACGGCTGACAGGGGAGGATGGAAGAAAAATACATGTTGTGCCCTTAACGTGAGATAAGGACAGGAAGAAGAAGAAGAAGAAGTCACACTATATAGATACCTATACAAGGTGATTAAATATTAACAACCTCGCAGGACTATATTACTAACATCATAAACAACTTTTGTTTGATGACTTTTAATAATTCACCACATTTTACTTTCATACGAAAATAAATAGATATAAATAGATCGCCCTAAACGGTAATAACTATGTGCAGGACGGGGGCAGCAGTTGTCGCGGAGTACGCTTGCACGTTTGAACTTACTACCAAATCCTGATCTAAAAAGTGTCAGATAGTACAACAAAAAGTTAAAGTTTATTTTTGGTAAAGAATCAAAAATCATAGTTCAAAGAATTCGTTAGCGCCTTCAAATGTCTTAATTACAAGTTTGAATTGTCATTCAAACTTGTTTTAAAAAAAACCATTTATTTTAAATTCAGTAAGTTTTTCAAATTTTAACAGAGGCCTATCTAAATCCGGAAATAAAATCATATTTAAAAGAAACTAATGACTAATTAGTACGTAACCCGACTGATATCTACAACTATCATTTTCTTGACGATGAGCGACATATAGCCGCTAAAAAGGGAATTTCAGTACTTACGTATGGACACTGTTCACATTAAGTTAGTTCGCGTAATATCAAATGTACTGATTCGATCGATTTGTAATAAGACACTTCTTTACTTCATTAAAAAAAATATATAAAGTAGAAAATTCCTTCTCCAAAATGCCAAGAAAATGGTAAAACTGACAGAAAAGTCCCAAAATCAGGGATAGACGGCACGTTTCACAAAAAAATAATTTGTGTCCGATTTACCAGTGCAATAGTCTGTGGTATATTATTATTTAACTAAGTTTTTTTGTTGTGGCTTAAATTCACGCCTTTTGACCGTACCAGTATACAAAATAATTTCCTCTGAACTTTCGTCAAGTCACAAAGCCAGGGCGCCGTTCAGCTTTTATTAACTATATTTATTATGTATCCAGATTTTCACATAACACACATACCTAAAACGTCAGGTCAATGCACTTGCATTCGTGCTACGTGACCGATGCAAAACTCATCATTTTAATTAGAAGTATGAGACACTTTTAGACCTAACGTACCTAACTTCGGACGTTCTTAAAAATATTTAGTTTATCTTTAAGAAATACCTTCGTGGAAATTTAATATAGTTATTCATCAAATTTTCTCGTCTTTACTTCATGTCCACTGCGGGCACCCTATATAATTTGTTTAAGGCTTCTGTAGTTTATTTTGATATAATAATATGATGAGCGAATATGTTTTATTCAATTACGTAACACATAACCTACAAAACTTCAAACTGGAATATCTTCAATTCCTGACTTCTCAGAATACTCAGGTACACCCGAAACAAAATTTCTTCAGAAATTTCAACTCTATATTTTCACATATTTTTCATAAACAGACACGTACAAATTATGTCAACAAAAATTTGTATGGGAGTTCCCATTGTCTTTTATTATGTTTTGTAAAAGTCATGGATCAAAATTGAGAATTGTTTATGATGTTAATAATATAGTCCTGCGAGATTATTAACATTTTAAAAAGAACCCTGTATACAACATAACAAATTACAAATTTCAACGAACAATTCAAGTTAGTGTACAAAGGTAAGCTTATCCCACCAAGGAATTATTTGCAATTAACCTTTGAATAATTGAGAGGAAACAAGTTTCCTGGGTTGTCAATAATAATAAATTAATTAATTAAATGCCACATACTCAACAATAACACAGATAAATTTATTATATCAAATGTAACATACGAATATAACATATGAAATCTTAGTAAAAGTAATATATAAAACAAAATTATAAATAAACATTTTGTCAGATTTTTTTTATAATACCAAGTGACGGGACGACGTTGTAGGGCCACTCAAATCATAAAGATCTGTAATTTCACCAGCACCCTTCGAAACGAACTTATTCACAAGTTGCTCTACTGCTACAAAATCTAGTTCTAACAAGAGGCGTCTGATCAATGAAATTATATTAATAAATTAATCATATATTTTTAGACTTTAAAATCTAAGTTACGGACATCTGTCAATATTTGGTAGCAATACCTAAACAATAGACTAACCCCCGGTGTTTGGAGGACTTGTGTCCATAATTTGTTAACACCCTGTGTAAAGAAACACACTCACTGTGGCTTCTGGTGTATCCAAAATGACAACAGCATCCAATTCACGTGTTTCTTCCTTAAAAGTCGCGTACAGGTCGTTGCGCAGTTTATCAGTAGCTATTTGACATTCATTTAGCATTGCATCAATCTCTGCGCTCTCCTCTGTAAACATCAATACTTACATGTTGATAATCATGATGACGTAGTGCAATTTTTTACCTATGTAGTAAACATCAAAATATCTTTCTATTTAAAAAAAATCTACTCACTCTCTAACCATACAATTTCGAAACATAATTTAAATTTCTTTACGTAAAAAAATACTCTTCCGACTTCCCAATTCCGAAAAATATTTAAGTTACCTTTTATTTAAAAGAAAATACTACTCGCTCTCCAAGTGCTCTGCAACCTTTCCCGTTCCAAAAGACACTTATATACTCTCCAACCTCTCCAATTTCGAAATGTATATATATATATATAATATATATAAAATATAATATATATAAAATATATATATATAAAAAAATATATATATATAAAAATAGTGCTCCCAATCCAATTTTTTGAAATTTAAACTTCGAAAAATATTTTTTATTTATTTTTATACAAAAAATAGTGGTTATCACTCTCTAGTCTTTCCAATGTAGAAAAATATTTTAAATTTCTTTTTATTACCACATGCAAAATAGGCGCTTAGGCTGCCTTTCCACCAGGGATGTGCGACGTAACGAGGCGGTGAGCTAGGAAAAAATCCACCAATAGGATTACTTCATTTTCCAAGCCTCGCTTAGCGCAGCTCCGGTGGAGAAGGGTTAGCGGAGCTAAGTATTTCCACATATAAAATAGCGAGAAATGTGTGCGAGGGATGCGGGCGAGGAATGTAAGCAAAACGGTCTAGGAAAGTAGAGCTACTTAAAGTATGACACTAACTGACACGTCGCCACCTCTCACCCCACCACACCGTACCCCGCCCGCGCATAGCTGAAAAGAGTTCGTAACGCATCCTCGCACAGCTTTGGTGGAAAACAACAAACCGTATCACAGCGTCGCTACACATCCTCGCACCGCCTCGCTACTTCGCACATCTCTGGTGGAAAGGCAGCCTTAACGTCGAGTTGCGGACTCCAGCCCGTCACACCATGCAATTTGTTTTTGTTAAAAAAAAATAGGACTCACTCTTGAACCTTTCTAATTTCGAAAGATTTCTTTATACAACATTAGTCAACATCAAATACGTTGCGCTGATCAAAGTAAGTAGGTAAAGCACTTATAATATGGAAATCGGAAACAACGACGGTACCACAAACACCACCCAGACCCGAGGCAATATAGAAAAGTTAGTTTTCTACACTGCCCGGCCGGGGATCGAAGCCGGGACCTCAGAGATGGGACACCATAAAAACCGGTGTGCAAGCCACTCGACCACAGAGGCTGTCAAAAAAAAGTTCTTTTTATTAAAAAAAATAATACTCACTCTCCAACGTTTCCAATTTCATATTAAGTTCATCCTGAGTCTCTTTCAATCGAGCGTCCAAATTGTATTTCTCCCAGGATTCGTTAAGCATGCTCACCAACTTTTCTTCAAGCATCCTACAAAGATTGAAAAACAGGTAAGATTTCAAGTTCGCTATCTGCTAAGACGAATATCAAACAGCTTTTTATTTTGTTCTAAATTGAAACAATTCAAAATTGCAACTGGAATATTGATAAAGCTTAATTTTTATCAAATATGTAAAGAAAGAACATAAAATTTAGAATGCAAAATACATAGTAAATATTTTAAGTGTTAATGTAGTAACACTAGTAATTTTTTGTTATAGAAAACACCAGTGGCCATTTTTCTCTCGCAGTTCAAAATTATTCATATAAGTTTCAACGAGCATTTTATTTGAAATTCAATAAAAATAATTTGCTTCAAGTTTCTTTGCCTTTTATTTAACAACAACATTGACAATTTGGTACATACTCGTATTTTAGGATGTTCTCACTTCGCCACTAATTGTATTAACGAAAACATTGTTCAAATTTCCAAATTTTAAAACGCTGTATAAGCGACAAAACAAGCCTAAAAAAAGTTGCGACTCTTGCTATAAATAAATTGATTACACTAACCTGAATACTATAGAGAATAGACGAGGGAAAATCATTGGACATTCGATAAGACACAACAACTTCTGTAACACCATTTTGGAGGGAAAAATCGAAGGGAAGAGAGGAAGAGGTCGACCTACCTACACAGGTAGGTAGCTGCGCCTAGTTTAGCTTTGGTCTATACCAAATAAAGGAAAAGGCCCGTGTCGTGTCATATAAGGAGGTCAAGGAGCTGGCTTATAGGAGAGATTATTGGAAGATGCTCCACCGACAAGAGTACAACTCTTGACTATACTAACCTTGCCCCCTCCTTTCCTATAACCTCCTTGTCTCCCCCCGTGTCATCATCTCCTTCCTCCGAGTCCGAATCCGAGATCTCCACAAACTCAGAGCTGATTCTGCCCATGTCTAATTCCAGGAGGGGCGTGAAGTTCCTTATACCTTCAATAAGGCTCTGGAAAAAAAGATAAACAAAATTACGAACTTAACAAGCTCCATAATGACAACCCACTACACGTTTCACTTTTGGGCACGGGTCTCCTTTAAAGAGAGAGTGTAGACAACATTTCCGTTACTGTAACAATATTTGTTTTACATCTGAAAATAACACACAAAAGTCATAGTACACTTGTTATAATTTAAACAAGGTTAATTTTTTTTTATACTCAATTTTTTTTATTGTATTGTCTGCTTTTCAAACATCTCAGCAACGTGTCAAACAACCACACTAACCAAATCGACTCAGAATATTCAGACAGGGAATACCCGTACAAGTGGAACGAACTAAGGGTCTCCTCTCTGGCGAGGGTTTTAAGCCATACTCCGCCACGCCGCCGTCCCAATGCGAGTTGGAGAGTTCACACGCTTTCCAATGGTTGAGAACCTTCTTCGACGTGCAGGTCTCATCACGATGTTTTCCTTCTCCGAAAAACTCATGGCAAATTTCAAATTAAACTTCGCACATAAATTCCGAACCTCAGGTGCGAGACTGGATCCGAACCCACGGCCTCTGCGGTAGGGTCTAACCTTTAGGCTACAACGGCTTCAACGCTACGCAGAACACCCAAACCAGAAACAATTTACAATAGAATAGAATGAATTTATTGCAACGCCACAACACAAAAATAAAAAAAGACAAAGCAAAAGTAAAACAAAAAATAATAAAAAAAAAACATCGAAGCAGACATAATACAATTTTAAACAGTCAACTTAATTTGAAACAATGTCATGTGTGCGGTTGTGGCGTTTGTAAAAGGAGCCACTCAGCTAATGTCACAGCCGAGTAAAAACTGTGACGCTAATTTTCAGTGGACCCTAAAACCAAGTGAGTACCGGACACGTGTCCGTAAATATTTTTATAATGTAGTACATTGTGTTCTTGTGGTGAGCCCAAATCGGCTATAGTGGGTGAAGCTGTGAAGGAAATAAGAGGAGGTGGTATATTCAGGGGCGGAGCTAAAGTTTTGGTTAGAGGAGGTTGGTTGCGAGCAGTGGTAATGTGACAATGCAGTTATCAGCGCGCTCACCAAGGGAAGACGTTGCTACCCTCATTTTGGCAGCCGTTGGTTAAATGTAATTACAGGGCCACCAACTTATCTGTGATACGGAAAGCGTAAGTTCGAAATACAAAAGCTAGCAACACTGCATAAACACTAATATATAAATATCACAGATAAGGTAGTGGATTTGTACTTAATATTTATAATTCATTTTTGAGACAAATTTCAAATACGTTTTTAAATAGAAAACTTAAACAATTTACTTGATACATACATATAGCGATAGTGAGTGTATTGTAGTATTGCAACAGATTTGCAGAGATTGCAGACAAAAAAGGACTTATTTTGAGAAGTTCTTTTTTAAACATCAAGTGACGGGACGAACAAGTCGTGCGCCATATGGTAACCTACACACCTGTCCATATCAGTTACAGTGTCACTCAGAGCTTTAAATTGCACAGATCTGAGGAACACTACCACTGCACCTGTCACCCTGAGACAAGTTGATATGTGCCTGTAATTTCGCCAGTTCGTTTACCAAAAACACACACTTCAATTTGCCCCCATTGCCAACCGCTGGCATTGAGGTACCCGTATATAGGTGGTTAATAATGGAACGTACCTGCTGCCTTTTAGCAACAACAAATAAGCAATTCTGACAGACCATAGCCCGTTTCTTTTTGTTGCCACTGCCGCCGTAGTATGTCAATGTTGAAGAATCTGCCACCATAAATGGCGTACTGCTGTCACTTTTGCATAAATTGTTTACGCATTTATTTGTTTGTTGCTGTGACGTGTCTGGAAAAAGCAATTATGGTATAAATTATAATTAGATGTCCAAAATGTATATACATGGGATAACAAAATACATTTTAAATGGTAGTTTCCTATTTTGGTCAATAATAAACATTTAGGATTCTTTTCAAGCTGTAATCTTATAAAACTTATAACAATCCACAATTATAATAAAAGACTATGTTTAAAGTCGCAAATAATGTTATTATACTAGTAACATAATTGGGATCAAAAACGTTTTTGTGTTGCCATTTTGTCGTGTTGCAGATATCATTCGTGCTTCGTTTCTCGAGCTCGAACGTCATCTTGTCTCCGTAGTGAGTTTGTTAAATTATTGTGAATATTTGTTAGTTTTTTTGCAATAGCTAATTATAATTGTACAAAATGAGAACTTCCCTCTTTTCCAATTCTGTTAAAGACAGAAAGAAGGTTTGGCACACCAGCAGTCACACTTTGACAGTGACGTTTCTTTGTTTTTAAAATTTTTGAGACCGAAATCTTTTTGTTAACCGACTTCAAAAAAGGAGGAGGTTCCCAATTGGACTGTTTTTTTGTGTGCATGTCACGCGATTACTTCAGCATTTGTGAATCGATTTTGCTGATTCCTTTTTTCTTGGAAAGAAGGTACGTCAGTGTTGCTACCATTTAAATTTGAATAAAATTTTCCACCAGAGCTTTAAATCGCAAAGATAGACTGAGACATAAGTTGTTAAGACCCCTGGGCCTGTAATTTCACCAGCACCTTTCAAATCCGGAACACTGTTTAATGTTCATATTACCACTAAGGACAGAAATAGCCTAGCCTAAATCTTTTGCCAAGGCTATGCAGGACGTAAAACTCGATTTCCAAATCGCATGATTTGGGCATTGGTCTTGGGTTAAACGGTTACAAAAAAGAATAACCCAGCGTTCTTTTGTAATATCTTATAAATACATAAATTACATTTCAATTAATTTGATAGCACTTAATAAATTCTCTGAAATGTATATTTTAATATTTTAATTTTTAAATCAGTTTGCGCATATCGATTTTATAAGTAGATGAGAAGTGATGTTTTTTAAGTGTAGAATCACTTAGTTTTAAGGTATTATGTTCGATATTTAATATGTAGTGTTTTTCTATGTGGAATGTCCTGAATAAATAAATAAATAGGTGTGACAACACTTCTTTGGAGAAACTCTTTCATAAAGAGCTCCACTGCTATTAAACTTTTTCTTTGACGGTAACAATGTTTTCGTATCCTAGTCCTCTGAGAATACACACGCAAGGTGACTCGTATTATGTGGAAGTGACGCTTGTTTTGCTTACCTTCAGCAGACTTAGTGTCTTCATCGTCTGAATCTAAATTAAAGACTTCCATTGTTTCAGATACTTTGGTATTACTCGAACCTTTCACCTAGAAGAATAAAAAGTCTGTATGTCAAGTATTACAACTATAAAGATCAGATTATATAGACGCGGTACAGCGGGAAAGGCGGCCCGGGGCCGGATTTGCGGGGAAGGAATGCGTACCAGGGCGCACTACACGTCACTCCCACGCGTAGTTCGTAGCGCCATGTACGAAACATCTATAAAAGTGAAGCCAGAAGGTATACATAACTGGGTGACGAAATACTAAAGATTTCTCATAGATGGCGCTACGGCTAAAAAGTCGTTGAAAAAACCAAATATATAATTATAACAAACTAGTGCAGTAATTTCACATAAATATCGATTCAATTATTAATCCATGAAAGTGCAGGCAAAACTGCCTCTGTGGCCGAACGGTTACCATGCCGGACTGCCATGCAGAGGTCCCAGGTTCGATTTCCGGGTCGGGAGAAATATTTGTATGGCCTACCTTTATTTCTCTCGTGAGTTTGGGTGTAATTTGTGGTTGTCTACGTGTGTGTCCATGGCACCCGCGACACAGGGTTTCCCTAGTGCGGGGTTATGTTGAGTGTGTACGTACGTACGTTATGAAAGTGTCAAACACAGACGTAGCAATAATGCCCGCGCACTGCGCAGGCCGTGGTCAATAAAAAAATATTATTGTAGCGCTGGTGAGCAAGAGGAGGTGCGTAGAAAATTGAGACGCAGACGGAAAGCGCGCAAGGCGTATATTAGATACAAGACAAAACAAAAAGTTATGTGGCTAGAGACCCAACAGTGCGTGAAAGCGCAAGTTAAGTGCCGAAGCTTAAGTAGGATAGACGTCTCTATAACTTGAGTACTATACCATTGCTATAGCGGTAATAAGCATTTATGGTAAGCATCAACTATACAAAACATATGAGATGACTTATACTATTAGAGTTCACAAAACGATAGCGTTTCAGAGTACAACTAATGCCATCTAGCGGTGACGCGACGGCACTAATGGCGTGGTAACATTGTGGTTGTTACATTCTTTGTCTTATAAAAGCAAGACAGATCAATCACGAAACCGCCACTGATACAGGGAGTCGACTCCCGTTCTCCGTCTAAGCTGGTGTCCGAAACAATTACTGTCAAATAAGTAATACCAACTAGACCAAATTAAAAGATGCATGACGCGAATGAAGCTTCATACTGTATTTATTTATTGTATTACTTGGTTAATACACAACTTTTTAAAATAATTATAAGCACTGTAGGGCACCGCAATTTACGTTTAACTTAAATTAAATTGCAGAAGTTCTACAGTTTAGAAAAACCAATTATAATTAATAAAAAATCAGTATCAAAATACGATTTCATTAATGAAATGGAAAAAACATAAATAAAAGTAACAAGTAATTATATAAGTAATAAAAAGCAAAATAAAATATTATTTCTTAACAATTTTTAAAACTGCATATAATTGGTATGTATTTACATATTATCTTTGCTCTCGAAGAACTCTTGCAAAGTGTAAAACATTTTTGAACCAAATATTTTGTATTCTTTTTATTAAAAGAATTATTGTTAACCTGTTTTTTGATGGTTTTGGGAACGTTATCATATACTTTTACGCACATGGCAGATAGGCCAGAACTATGCATTTTTATTTTTTTTATCATAATAACGCACACACTCAACATAGCTCCGCACTAGGGAAAACCCTGTGTCGCGGGTGCCATGGACACACTAGACAACCACAAATTACACCTAAACTCACGAGAGAAATAAATGTAGCCCATACAAATATTTCTCCCGGCCCGGGAATCAATCTTGGGACCTCTGCGTGGCAGTCTCTATCTGCAATATTAGTCGATACAATTACAAGAATTGGAGAGGATGTTGGTTATATTTTTCTGTATCTAAAGGAGCAATAAAACGTTTTTGACGTAACTCCACTTATGCCATTCTTCCATGAGGGGTGCGATATAGTCTTGCGAGGTTGTTAGCATTTTCCAAATACCCCTGTATAAGCAATTATATATATTTACTTGTAATCCATCATTCATGAATTAATGATGTTATTCCTTTGAAATATGTATATTAAAGAAAGAGTTAAAGAACACATCGCGACTGTTAAGAACCGTCAGCTCAATAAGTCTGCAATAGCCGAGTATTTGCTAGAATCAGGACCAAACCACTGGATTGAGCTTCATAATCCCAAGATCTTTTCTACAGAACGTCATCACTATAGTAGAATCGTACGTGAAGCTATTGAAATTAAAAAACACCGTAATTTCAACCGAGAAGACGGTTTTAAGCTTTCATCGTCATGGTTATCAGCAAATATAAACGAAATCAAGTATCGCCCGACAAGTCGCCGGATGTCGTGCGTGTTGTGTGTCGGTCTAGTGAGAACCCTAGTGCGGCTAGAAGATGCTGACACCCGCCTTTTAAATCCCTTCGAGACCATGGACGTTGCAATACGTCCGAAACGTCGAGGTAATTAAAATATGTTTTATACGTGATTAAGTCCCGAATTTAAAATCAAATAATGTGTGAAAGCTTAAATCCAAGTAATATGAAAATTATCATTTTCACACAAAAAAAAGAAATACAATAATTTTGTTTGATATTTACCTTTTTTTCAGGTATTACTAGCGTAGATTCAGTTGTGGCTACGGTCTTAATTGAGACCTCGCTTGTGTTTAGTCTTGCCTGAAAAATAATGATATTCACAAATGTAATAATTCACAATTAATATACATATAATAATATATAATATAAAAACGCACACACTCAATATAACCCCGCACTAGGGAAACCCTGTGTCGCAGGTGCCATGGACACATACATAGACAATCACAAATGACACCCAAACTCACGAGAGAAATAAATATAGGCCATAGAAATATTTCTCCCGACACTGCCCGGTCACTGTATATAATGGCCAGGCTGTATAAATAATTACACCCAGTCTTAGCCAAAATAATAAAACAAACTATCTGTAGTTATGTTATTGCCCGCGGCAAGTATAGCATTAATCATACTGCCCGGTCCAAACTATAAATTAACGTCATCTTAAGCCTCGATTTCTCAAATGGATCATGGGCAAATGGATATTATAAGTAGAAACGGTCAAAGTAATAAATTTATGAATTTGGTCTATGCTGTTGGTCATTATTCATAATGACCGGATCGTAGTAGCACTATTTTTAATTAATGTGCATGTCGCTTTGCAATAAATTCTTGCTGTTTAGGATGAATTTTTTATTTGCCATTCTCTTAGAACAATGAATACACTTTTTGAGTATTTTATTGTAATTCTGGTACATATGTCGATCGTTGTTTGTTTTGTGTGTGCAATACTTAAACCCAAGTTTTCTATTTATAGTGCAGCTTTTTTGAGGCCTCTTGTTAACCAACGTGACTTTAATGGTGATATTAATTTAACTTTTATTAATGGAAAGCAGAGTTTGTATAGGAGGATTTGAAACCGAACCTATCGCAGCGCTGATATTACTGATTATAATTTGCCCATTACATACACTATTTACAACACTAATGGACGTAACTTGAATTATTTACAACATAAAATTAAATTCTGATTCGAACAGACTATGAAAATAACTTTTTTAGATTATACAAAATGACTTACCGGTTTTTGGGGCGGAGGTCTTGGCACGCCACTTATAACTATCTCTCCGTGTTTTGTAGTTATTTGCGACATATTTATACCAGAGTATGACATTATATCTATGTCCGAAGGCAAATTGACACTGGTCACTTCATCCATGTTTGTATCGGTAATATCTACGTCTGCATTGGTTATGTCTATCTCCGTATTGGTTATGTCTATGTCCGCATTGGTTATCTCAACGTCCGCATTGGTTATCTCAACGTCTATGTTTGTATCAGTTATATCTATGTCTGCATTGGTTATGTCTATCTCCGTATTGGTTATGTCTTTGTTGGCATTGGTTGTATCTGAGGTAACATCGGTTTTGTCGCTGTCTTTAGTGGTGGTTTCAGGGGTTTTGGCGTCTTTTGGAACATCTGGAATGTCTGTTTGGGGAAAAAATTGTTACTTTACAATTCCAGTAGGATACTTGTTTATCTGACGTCAAAACAGAAAGTCCTTTGTTTCGTAGAACGTACGAGAAATAAAGATAAATGTATTTCAATATAACTTAATCTAAATAAATAAGTAAAACAAATGTATACTTTATGTACACGTATGTAGTGGCTACTTTGTAACATTTTTGTAGTAGAAGGAATTTTTTTATCTGAGACTACGCGTTTAATTTTGCTTTTATTAACCGACTTTAAAAAAAGAGGAGGTTCTCAATTCGACTACATTTTCTTTTGTATGCATGTTACGCGATAACTCATTTGTGAACCGATTTTGATGATTCGTTTTATGTTGGAAAGAGAGTACCTCAGCATTGGTCCCATTTAAATGTGAAGAAAATATTCCACCACTAAGGGTGGTGATGGTGAAGCTAGGGAATTAATCCGGTTTCGAGCACTTTCCGGTAACCAATTTCAGTAAAACTTGGCAAATTGATGTAATTACACGAACTTTTGAGGTCGGTTTTTTTTGTTATAAAAAAGTTGTTCTATTAATAAACGAATTAACATAAAAATTTGCATTGAAGGGATTTTCCACACTTATCAATACGAAAACGCAATTAAGTCGACCAGGAAACACCTTTGGAACACGCAAAGTCTTTTTCGCTTTTATAGCATGGATATAGGTTTTTTGAACGGCTTAAGCCGATCCAGCGCGAAGTATGGAGACTCCCCAAGTTAGTAAGGCCATTTACAGCTTCATTTGGTACATCTATCTTATTGTATGTACATATCGTGGGTGTTTTGTAGAAAGAGCGAAAGCGCCATTACGAAAAGTGTTTCAGGGAACACGTTTTAATTTTTCACGACTCTTTGAGTGAATGAATAATTAAGTCCTGTTTCAAATAAGTAATAAAAAAAATATATTAAATTTTATTTTTAAAATTCATATTTGGAAAACCAAAATCGTATTTTAACACAGGACGTAAATATTTCAAAACAATCGTTAAAACTTAAAACATGGTCACTGAAACATTTTCCGAAATGGCGATTTCGCCCTTTCTACTAAACACGATATTTGAATAATTATTAATACAAAGATCCGCCGGATTCGAACTGACGTCTTCTAACAAACCGTGCCACTTTAAACCAACTAAGCACTTCAAACAAAATACTTTCACAAGATTTCTCATGGATGGCGCTACAGCTAAAAAGTCGTTGAAAACTAAATACAAAGATCCGACGACAAGCACATAGAAATATTTGTGACGTTCGCTGGTTCGTTTCGTTGCTTAGTTCACATAGCGTCTGGCACGGTTTGCTAGAAGACGTCGGTTCGAATTCGGCCGGATCGAAGGAATTTTTCTACATGTCGGATCTTTGTACTTAATGATGGTAACAAACTAGTGTAGTAATTTCACAAAAAATAATTGAATGTCAATTCAATACAAATTTAATTACGATATTTGAAATTTTAAATGTACTAACCGTCTTCGGACGAACTCTCTTCCAAATCGACAATGTTCTCTACGTGTTTGGGCTGCGACACTTCTAGCTTCTTCGTTTTACTCGGTGACTGTTTTGATTTGTCTACTTCACCTTTGAATTGAGGTTCTTTCCGTTCTAAAAAAATAACCAATAATGAGAATGTACGTACATTTAAAACAGAAAAGAGTGAAGAATAGTAGATAGAGAAAAGGAAAAGGGTGGAAGGAAGTGGGAGAGGTTGCAGTATTTCTTTGAACGAACTCATTCACAAGAGCTTTACTGTGTGGGCGCAACCCTAAACGTCATTCGCACGTAAGGGTTCCAGCTAAGCATTTACGTAATGAGTCACTAATTCATTTACCTGTTGGTCGGCGTGCAAGCAATAACTTTAACAAAGTTTCCTTTTCGACTTTGATTTATTTAACACAAACTGGGCGTACGTTAAGTAATTATTGTTTTTTTATTACTAAAGCGAGGTGTTGTGTGCGTGTGCGTGCGTGCGTGCGTGCGTGCGTGCGTGCGTGCGTGTGTGCGTGTGTGTGAGCGTGCGTGCGTGCGTGCGTGCGTGTGTGTGTTTGTGGCTGTTTTGCTTGTAACGTTTTAATGTACTTTCTATTATATTATGATACAAACTGTTTGTACCCTCAACAATAAAATTAAATTAAATTTTCTCTCTTAAATTTAATTAAAAAGAGACTGAGAGACAGTTACTTATGTGTTTATTGTAATAAAGAACATTTTAAATTAAATAACGATTTACCTTCATTCAATAAGGCCCTAAGTATAAGGTTCTTGGTCGGTGGCACACTATCCTCGTTGGCAGATATGTCCGATATTTTTTCTGTTTCGGTATCATTTTCCTCTGTTGATTTGGCTGGTTGTTCCTGGTTGTCCTGAAATGTAAGAATTTGGATTTTTTTCTTTCATAATAACTAAGTGATGGGACGAACAAGTTGTACGCCTGATGGTAACCGACATGCTTGTCCATAACAATTGCAGTACTGTTCAGAGCTTCAAATCACAAAGATCTGAGGGGCACTGGCATTGCGCCCGACACCCTGAGATATAAGTTAACTTAGCGCGCGTTCTCATTATATCGTGACTTTAGATACTTGTGCAGTTTAAAATGTACCCTTCGAAACCGGAACGCAGTAATGCTCACTACTGCTTGCCGGCAGAAATAGGTAATATAGGCAGTACTTCCCTGGACGAACTCTTTCACAAGGAGCTTGACGGCTACTATGAATATGTAGCTGCATCAATATATGTACATCCGCAGCACTCGGCGCGCTGGCAAACACTGAGTAAATTTTTTTTCAGCAGTGCATCGTATCTCCGCGAGGGCGACGCCACTGAGGCGACGTACACCCGGCATCACTTAAGTAACAAGTTACTAACTTATACTACTGTAAGGATTTTACAATAAACAATATTATGTTTCCTGCTCCTAACTCGACTTTCACTACTCAACCATCTGAGAAGCCTCCAAAAATATACAAACTTTAAAATAAAATCTTTTATTTCCGCGGCGTATTACATAGCGTTTATTATAGGCAAGAAACAATATAGGGAAAGGAGAAGAGAAACAGGCTGGCCACAGTGACACTTACAACCCCTAACAGGAGTACTAAAGTGTTCTTTGGCCCTTATTCTGTTCGAGCGCAAAAATACTCCTGTTTCAAACCACGATGACTTTAGTGTCAAGCGTAAAAAATAACTCTCTCCCGTCTGTCCTCTCTATCAAACTGTACTTTCTACTTTTATATTTTATTATTAATATTTCTACTTCTATATTTTATTCGCGTTAACACTGCTAGTTCGTATTATTTGCCACAGTTTATGGGCCCACTGAGCTTATCCGTTAAGGGGTTTCAACTCGTAACTTACCTCTATACTTTCAGCGACAGTTGTCACGTGTGTTATCTCTGGAGTCTCCACGGCGACGTCCTTTGACGGCTCGTTTTCGGTTATCTGAAAATATCCACCAAGGATTACAATTTAAAATATCAGTATTTCATAATCAAGCTAGCTATATTTGAATGTCAAAATGATTAAACGTTACTGCTCGTTCATGTAGCGTATTTACACCGGATTGACTGCCGCTTTCGACAAGACTACTTTCGGTTTTCCGAAGGAAGCGCATTCGACTTGTAGTTTACATCGAGTCGACTGCCACCTCTTCGGCAATTCTCGACAGAAATCGTTCGACGCGTTCAACAAGCTGGAACGCGGTGGAACGCGGCCGCTGACACGTTGACACTTGTTTGGTCGACAGTCGCTTGCGACATTGATTACTAATCGACTAGGTCGACTTAGGCAGCGAACGACAGTCGTCAAACGACTCAGTGTTTACACCTAGTGTAAACGCCCCAATAGGGCTGTTTATACTGAGAAGAACGAGTAAGGGGTTGTCCTTTAAGTAATTAACAACAGACTGTAAATTTAAATTTCAAATCAGCTCTCTCTGCATGACTATGAGTTACTCGAGTTGTGATAACTTTGTTATGATAGCTTTCTTACGTCAACGCCCGATTGGTTAGTCGTTGCCGAATCCTTTCCATCTTGCACCTCACTCACAACACTGCTAATGTCGAAATTGAAATCTGGAACTTCATTGCCTTCATTGTCTCCTTTATCCACTGATTGAGCTATTTCAACTAACTCCTTTATTTCTGTGGAGGATAAATGTACATAATACATAAAGTAATATACTTAAATAAATGTACATAATACATAAATCGAACCCCATGAACAAGTCTAATTGGACGTAGTTAAACAAAAAGGATCCAATGCACATTCAGTCACTTTCAAGATATGACTGTTTGAAGTTCAAAAATGTTTCTCATTCTTGTTTTATTTTCAAAACTTATAACGTCATGTAACTCCAGAGATATTTATTTATGTTTATGTGTTTTGATTTTTTACTGCTCTAAGAGGTTAGACTTTTTGATAATATTGTGGATTGGATCCTTTTTGCTTAACTACGTCCAATTACTCCTAAGGGTACTCAGAGACCTAGAAATCTACAAATAATAGGACTCCATACAGTCATTTATCTGCATAAACATATTTATTATATAAATAGCACCGTTTTACCTATTTCTACACTGCAATCATAGATTTAGCGCGTTTTCAAATTAGAAGCTTATAGATGCGCTACAGCGCCGTATACACTATTAATTTTCATACAATTCTAGTCTGCAAAAGTGAAACGTGACGCGACTATGGCGCTGCCGCTGAAGCTTTCTCTCGTGAGTTTGGGTGCAGTTTGTGGTTGTCTACCTGTGTGTCTATGGCACCCGCGATACAGGGTTTCCCTAGTGCGGGGCTATGTTGAGTGTAAGCGTTATTATTATTGTTATTATTATTTTTTTGTCATTTTATTTTATTTTGTAAACAGCCATATTTATTAAGTAATATTATGCTTCCCGAATTTTGTGAAACAAAAAACAAAATTGTAAAAAAAGAATTGTGGAAAAAAAAAACCAAATAAAAACAGAACAAGTTCAATAATTAAGTTGACGTAGTGTTCATTGGAGGTATAGACAAAAAACCTACGTAATAAAATAAAAGCGAAAAAACGCGAACCCATTATTCGCTCTTATGCCATAAAGCTTTTTGCGACTGGCTCAAGCCGATTCTGCATTACTTCTAAATTTGTCGACTTCCTTAAGTTGCTTTTAAAAATAGTATCATTGCAATCTAGGGAGTGGACAGGATATAAATATAAAATTGATATTTATTCTGCAATTTCTGTTTAGATTTGTATACTGAACCATACATTTAAAAGTTACAATATCACTCACCAATATCACAAGCCCCATCCCCAATCTGAGCTTCCAATATATATTGCGCATCATCAGACTGCTTTTCAATGATCTGGTGGGTCATCTTTAATGGTAGTTCTGTTTCTAAATGCTGAGCGTTTGAGTCTTCAGAATTGTCTACTATCATCTGGTTACTGCTCTCTAATGACAGAAAAGTTAATCAAGTTGATAATAAATTGCAGTTACTTAATATACGTGATGGAAGAGCGGAATGGTACACTTGAAAATGCTTAGTAAATAATGTATACTAAACAGGGTTTTTTGTAATGTACTAACACAACTTCGGAAGATCATATCGTAAGTGTTTTGAAGAAAGCGACATTTCGCAGATTTTTCAGGGGAGCATGACTTTAAAATTTAAACTTAATTAAAACGGAAATTGAATATTAAAGTAGTCATTAAAACCTAAAACAAGCTCCCCGACAATATTATTAGCCATTATCTTTATAAACAGCAACTTTTGTTCAATGACTAAATAATCCATCAGATTTTACTTACATACAAAAATTAAAACTTAAATAGACCGCTCATAACTCTCTGCCGGTTGGATGCAAAACGCAGAAGCAGGGATGGGGACCTTCAGGGAGGAGATCTAAAGTGTCATAGTACAACAAAAACTTAAAAGTTTATTTTTGGCAACCGTATTATGTTTTGTAAAAAGTCACAGAACAAAAGCTGTTGTTTACTATGTAAGTAATATAGTCCTGCGAGGTTTTAGTATTTTACAAATAAAAAGAAAAAATAACCCTGTATATCTGAAGTCAAAATCAGCCTGATGTCTAGACTGGAAGGTCAAATATGTTTAAATTTCTAAACACCAATGCCACTTTTTCAAATATGGTAAAGAAGCAATTCCCATACTCTGCGCTTGTCCTTCTCGAAAACTTCTTCAACTGAATAGGCAAAAGACCTGCGGTCTAATCCATTCTATGGCCAATTCAACAGGCCATGGTCCATATAATTAGTATTTTTTTATTTAAGGTATGGACACCCTTCTGAACGTTCTGCATTGTTTGGAGGAGTAAACCGTGTTATATACACTCTAGCATACAACTGCAAGGCGAAACCCCTTGGAGTGCCAAAATCGCTCCCTAACATTTACAACAAATCTAACAGGATACTAAGATTCTTGGATGATTTCTAGTGACTTTGCAGGTGAAGAAACCACACTGTCACACCATACCGTACGAGTGTAGAAGAACATTTTAGTTTCTATTCTGAATATCAGGCTAATTTTAAAGTTACACAGTTAGCCTGTTGTTGAGATTGAATTTCCACTCTCCAGTAAAGAGTATTTCAATCTGATTACACTTTTCTATCGAAAATTAAACAGCACTTACCATCATCAGGATCGTAATCATCATCATAATCTACATCATCATGGTCTGAGGTTTCCTGTTCTTCATCATCTTCCATCACCCTGGAAGACTCTGCCAGCAGTCCAAGGGAATCTGACACTTCTGGTATTTCATCTGATGTATCAGGAGCCATTGACATGTGGGTGTGGTTTGATGTTGAAGGTTGATAGGATACAGGGGGTTCTTTCGATACAGAGGCTTCATTTGACAGAAAAGATACTTGAGAGGTAGATGGCAGGCTTTCTGTGGGTGCCTGTAGTGGCTCCATCTCAGAAGAAGGCATAGATAGAGAAGGTTCAACTGAGGCTGAAACTGAACAACAGTGCTCAACTTTAAGCAATGGAGAAGATTCTACATCCTTAGATAAGGAATCTACAGGTTGTGTTGTATCTGTTTCTTTAGGTATCTCAATTGGTACATCAGAATCAATTTTGTCATCAGAATATATACCTCCTTTAACTTCAAATCCCTGAAAAGTAACATTACCTTCTGATATTTCTATTCCTGTCAAATCGTCACTTTCAGTTTCCGTGCTGTTTGCTTGAGGTACATTGTCTGTAAATTTTTCAATTACAATGTAATTTTCCTTATTTTTACTCTGAATATTATCAACTAAACTAGCAATATCTTCACAGTTTTTATCCTCTGACGTGACAGATACGTCACTAGTGTTGTCCATAATACTGTCAATATTAATCAATTCTTGAGTTGGTATTTCAATCATCATATTTGGATGTTTCAAGCCATGTTCTTTACTTCCTAAGTCCATTGATATATCTTGGGACATGTTGACATCAGAAACAATTCCTTGTTCAGTTTGTAGATTTTCTGGTTTTTCAGGGATTTTAGAATCTGGTTCCGTTGATTCATCGATGTTTTCAGGAGCTTCTTTAATGTTTTCTAAGGAATCAGCAATATCAATATCCATTGGTGCGTCTTTTGCTTCGGTATTAAGACTTGTATCTGCTTCACTGTGAATATCTTTCGGAATATTTATAATATTGTCTGATAATATATTTTCTAGCTTTATATTGTCATTTGTAGAATCAATTGAAGCATTAGATGCATCGGTTGTTTCCAGTTTAACAGTATCATACATTACACTTTCAGCTACTATTTTTGAATCAGAACAAGGTTCAGGTATGGGAACTTTATTAACTTGTGTAATATCAGTAATAGAAAATTCAGGGTTTTCAGAGTCCTTAATATTTGCACCATGAAAGCTATTTTCTTTTTCTTCAACAGCAGTTTCCGATTCAAGACCAACATCATGTGTTTCTAGCAATGCATTGTCATCAATAGCTTCAGTCACATCTGTAAGCAGTTTGCTGGTTTGATGTTCAATTGGTTCGTCTGAAATGAGGTTTGTATCTTCTGATAAAAGTTCTTGTTCTGTTTTGGAGTCAATTTCCATGTCTGATAATTTTCTTTGACGCTCAGTAGTTTCATCAATAGAATTTGCTGTAGTTTCTGATTTTTCTTCATGTTTATTTTCAGTTAAATTATCTATATCTTTCACTATAGATTGTGAGACATTGTTATCAATTTCCTGATAATTGGCTTCTTCACTACTGGCACTTACTGGTGTGTCAACTGCCTTTTGTATATCAAAACTGTCTAGTTCTTGGTTGCTACTAGGTTCTAGAAGGTCTCCAGCACCAGTTAATGTAGTTTCAATATTGTTTTCACATTGGTGATCAATTTGTGTAAATGTTTTCTCAGGTACCTCTTTTATTTCTTTTTTGTCGACATTCGTTATTGCAAATGATTTATCAGTGATTATACAGTCAGTTTCTGCTAGTATCTCAATTTCAGAGGTTTCTGCACATTCTTGACTTATGATGTCCTTTTCAATGATATTATCTGTCTCTGTACAACTTGTTTTATCAGACTTCTCCTCCATTTTTTAATTCCAATTTAACACCTTGATAATACGTAAAACTTCGTTGCATAAATACGCAACTTATGCATTATAACTGCTGACAACTTATTAAAAAACAAAATAAGCGGTGAGAAAATATAGTTAGACAAAGGTAGCGTGGAGTAGTAATACAATAATGTAGCAGTGTTTAAAATCGGAAAAAGTAAACTAAATAAACATTTATTTTCTATAACAATCAAGGGTATTATCTAAATAGACGTAATTAGCACTAAGCAAAACGCAAAAATGCAATCGAAATCTGCCGACCACTGTATTTTTTTACTTTTTTTTTAACATTAATTGTTTTTAATCATGGCTTTGGATTTAAGTAAATCAGTCAAAATCAGAATATTAGTGACAATGACAATAAACATCGAAATTATTCTAAAATGGTAGCACAAATATTTATTATAACAATCATCAATCAATTCAATCGTTTTAGCATGTTTTTAAATCAACACAGTTTGTTAATAATTAATGATGCAGTAGTGATGCAGTATTTGAGCCCCATATCCTATATTCGGTGCTCATATTTACACCGCCATTGAATCAAGAAACAGCTCAATAAAATAACCAGATAATAGAGTTGGTATGGTCAAATTTGAGAGTATCAATAATAAAACATCTACGCATAGGAAACATACTTTACTCTGCAATTTTGTGATTGCAATTACATTCTGTGTTTATGGTAATAAATATGACACAAACATTTTGACAGGCAACGTAACCGATTTCCGTTGTAGTTTCTGTAAATAATGCGGAAGTTAGCATTACATTACGAATTTTAAGCAATTCTGAAGTATACTAATATCCTTAGCTCTACAGTTACATGCATACCGCATCTTGTGGCGACTACTTTACATTTTTCATCAACTCACAAAAAACGTCTTTTTCGTAATTTTCATGTGTTCATGTAACAAAGTTCGTTTTAACTCGCCTACGATAGATAATACACTATCATTTTATCGGTAATAAATAAATTAAATATCGTGATAAATCATTAAAATCTTCTAGTCGTGTGTTGTGTTACGATGAATATAAATAATTTTCTAACTCCTCGATTGATGGCTGGCGCGGCGTTTGTGGGGCTCGTTGGAGCTGCAGGAGTCTTTATATACGAGCAGGTGTATGCCGAGAAACGAAGAGCCATGCTAGGTAAGTTTTAACCCATTAGTTGACTGAATACATGGTTCGTATGAAATGCGAGACCTCGAGATCATGAAGCAGCTCCAACTACATATCGCGCGACTAATCGGACGGTCACAGAGTGATAACGCTACATAATTGAGTTGCCACGTGTTTTTTCCAATACCTACTTCATTATACTAAAACAAAAGATATTTGCACACCTATGTATTGTCCTGAGGTCTCGGCAAGGTTGCAGGCGTATATACTACATTAATATTTTGATGTTGCAGAACTGTTGGCTTATCTTGATTATAATCCAACCAGACTTGATTCAATTTGAAGTCATCAAGAAATAAAAATTTCGTTTCAATCGTCAAATTGAACTCATTCTGTTTTTTAGTTCCTTTATTTTGTTAGTTCTGTTGTTCCTGCTGAGGTCTGGAATTTGTGAACAAATTGGAACTGACTCGAACTGACGTCTTCTAGCATACCGTGCCAGATGCTATACCAACTAAACTACGGAACGAACCAGCGGACCTCACAAAATTTCCTATGTCCTTGCTTCATATCTTTGTATTTGGTTTTTCAACAGCTTTTTAACCGTTTTCTGAGTGTTCAATCTTTGTATTAATAATTATAACAAACTAGTGGAGCGATTTCACATAAAAATAATTGAATATCAATTCAATAAAAATTGAAGGACAATGTATAGTGACATCTCTAGCCGGGGCTGGTAGCTGCACATAGAAAAATTCATGAGGTCCGCTGGTTCATTGCGTGGCTTAGTTGGTATAGCGTCTGGCACGGTGTACTAGAAGATGTCGATTCAAATCCGGCCGGATCAAAGGAATTTTTTTTTTGAGTGTTCGATCTTTGTATTAATAATTATAACAAACTTGTGGAGTCATTTCACATAAAAATAATTGAATACAATTCAATAAAAATTTAAATAGGAACTGTTTCAGTATGTAAAGGACTGAGCGTCATATTCTAAAACTCTACTCAATGCTCAAGTCAGGACTTGAAGTATGATTTCAAGCACTGGAAATACTACCCTAATGGCAAGGACTTGAGTATGATTTCTAGTGCTTTGAATCACACTAAAGTCCTGACTTGAGCATTGAGTAGAGTTCTAGAATACTCATAGAGTCAAATGATCTAATGATTTATTCATTTGAACAGGACTTTTTAATTGTGCTCTCCTTTTATTAAATTTTTTAATAAACAACTTGAGCCTGATTAAAACAAAATATTTATATTTGTGTCGTAATTGAATTGCCTTAAAGTATATGTTTCAGAAAGTCTGACGCCAATTACACAGTCTTATTCTTTTGCTTGAACAAAACGGGTAAAACGGGTTTGCTAAACCTACTAACAAGCGAACAAACCCCTGATGTATTAGCTTGCTCCGAGACGTGGTGTAGGTACAACGAAATAAAACATGTTAGGCTTAGTGGGTACACTTTAGCAAACAGCTTCTGCCGCGAAACTATACAACACGGTGGTGTTGCATTGTATGTACGCGATAGCTTAATGTATAAACAAAGAAACGACCTACAAAGTCTTTGTATTGAGTATCAATGTGAATTCACTGTTATTGAAATATTAAAATTAAAACTAATTGTCATAGCCGCATATAGGACTGGAGAAAGTGACTTCAAAGTGTCACTAAGGTCATTGGAATCCTTACTTAGTATGGTAATTGACGAAAACAAAAGGTTTATTCTGGTAGGCGATCTAAATGTGGATTATTTAAGTACAAATCCGTTAAGAACTAAACTAGATGACTTACTATCTAGTTACGGTTCAAAAAATATAGTAAACTTTGCAACGCGAGTGTGTGCAAGCTGCGCGACATCCATTGACTGCGGTGTAGTGGCGTGCAGTGATGACGGAGTAACGGCGACACCGATCGACACCCCGATTGGCGATCACGACGCTCAGCGTTATGTGTTGAATACGGGTACAAATGAGAGCGTTTCACACAACACGCATATTGAACGTAGAATTTTTCAGTTAGACTCTATTTATTTATTTTACATTGACATTGAAAATTATGATTGGAACTTTATATTTGACTTAACATTAGACATTAATGAAAAATTTTGTAAATTAATTCGCATTTTGACATATTACATAAATGTTCATTTTCCTATTAAAAAAATATTATTAAAAAAGAATAATGTCATTCCGTGGATGAATAGTGAGTTGTTAGAACATATACAAAACTTTAAGAACTACAATGAAATGCGTCGTCAATATCCTAGTGACAAGATGCTACATCAGTGTGTTGAACGTTATGCAGAGTTGATAAAATCAACCAGTGTATCTGCACGTAAAGCATACAATGATAAACGTCTACAAGAATGCACGAATAAATCAAAGGAGGTGTGGAAAATCGTTAACGATGAGATTTCCACCACTAGTAAAATGCAAAATATATGTTTAAAGGATAAAAATAATTATGATATACAAATAAATAACGTACCAGAATGTTTCAATAAACACTTTTTGTCTGTCGCTGCTAACTTTTCTCTAAATAGTGACCGTAATAGGGCAATTGACTATTTATCAACTTATGTAGATAGTAAACAACCACCAACCTACACATTGCCAACTATTACAAAGGACACAATTGACAAATGTCTAAAACAGCTTTTGAGTAGGGCTCCTGCTACACAGGACATATATGATATATCAGTCAATATACTTCTGTCTATCTGGCCAGTCATATCTACTCCACTGGTACACCTAGTTAACGAGTCGTTCTGCACGGGAGTATATCCTGACGTGCTGAAGAGCACACGTGTATGTCCTGTGTACAAGGGCAAAGGTGAGAGAAGCAAAGTCGATAACTATAGACCGATAACTATAGTGCCAAATATCTCAAAAATAATAGAATCGTTTCTTTCCTCACAAATAATGTCACATTTGGAGAATAATAATCTTGTCGCGAACAACCAGTACGCCTATCGTAAACTCAAGTCCACCACCGCAGCTGCACAGAGAGTAGTAGACACAATAGTTACGGGGCTGGATGGGAAATGCAAGGTAGCAGGTGTGCTGTGTGACCTCTCCAAAGCGTTTGACGTAATCAGCCACGAATTGCTCTTGGAAAAACTATACCACTATGGTATACGACAAAGGACACATGATCTTCTAAAATCATTCTTATCTGGAAGAGTTCAAACAGTTGAGGTGGCGACAGCGGGGAACAAACTGCGCAGCACCACTGGTACCGTGAACCTGGGAATTCCCCAAGGATCTTCACTGGGAAATACACTCTTCCTGACATTTATTAACGACCTTCCGTCGCACATCACAGATGGCTTAGTGGTATTGTTCGCTGACGACACTACCGTAATTGTGTTTGCGCCAACGTATGACGAACTCAATACAAAAATAAACAAGGTTTATACCGGTTTAATGAATTGGTTCACTTCTAATGGTCTCATACTAAACGCTGCAAAATCCAGCCTAATCCTATTCTCCGGTAAATCGGTTCCGAGACCTGCGTGTTTAAACAGCCCAATGCCCATAAATGACCACAGTAAGTTCTTGGGATTTGTTCTAGATGACAATTTAACATGGAAACAACATATAAATGCTATGTGTGGTAGACTTAGTGGTGCCGCATATGCGCTAAAGAAGTTGAGACCTGTCGTTACCGATAGTATACTGCGTCAGACCTATTTTGCGTATTTCCATTCAATAATGTCATATGGCATCATTCTCTGGGGTGATTCCACTGACTCAGGTAGGGTGTTCGTTCTTCAAAAGCGAGCAATTAGAATCCTTGCTGGTGTATCACGCAGAATCTCTTGTAGAGACTTATTTGTAAAATGCAGGATAATGACGATGAGTTCGTTGTATTTGTATGAAACAATTACCTTTGTACGCAAGAACTTGCACACCTTTAAAAGGTGTGGAAGTGGCTATAATACCCGCTCCACAGGACGACTGCAGATAGTGCCACGACGCTTGGCACTCGCTGAAAAAAATCCGCGCGTAATAGGCCCGACATATTATGAGCATCTACCTGCTGATCTAAAAAATGAATCTAATGATGAAACATTTGATCGTCGACTGAAAAACCTTTTGTTGGATAATGCGTATTATTCTGTTGGAGAATATAGGAATGTGATATTGTAATTATTATTTTTTATTTCTCATTGTATTTGTTGTTATTATAAAATATATAGTTTAACTTGTGACTGTACAAATTGTACTCATATTAATTTATTTTGATTTTATATAATTTAATTAGAAATTTTTGACGATTCTTGTAAAACAATAAGTTATATTATAACTGTATTTATAAATGTAATGTAAGTTTACAAGAAAATAAATAAATCTAATCTAATCTAATGAATTGAAGAGAAGTGGAGATCACTAGCATTAAATCTGACCCTTATCACATCTCTCCCACCAAAAGCCTAATTCAGGGTTAGGTTTATTCATGTGACTATTGCCTCCCGTTTATGTCGAATCTCTTCACTGTAGGCATGGACATCTGATAGGTTACTCTCCATCACTATGCTGGTGGCTGCATACCCTAAGATGCCGAGCATCAACAGTAAATTGTAGATGTGTAGCAAGAATAGAGTGGAGAGGATATATCCCAGGATTAACACAAGTAACCATCTACAACTTTGTACCAAAGGCATCAAAAATGTATATCTCTAAAGAAATCTATGCCCATAAAAATATACATATTTTCAATAAGAAAGAAGATCCATAATATTAACCTTAGAGCAAAGTCCAAACTCATGGTACCACGATTTTGTTTAACCAAGGTAAACTACTGTTTTATGGGGAACTGTATACGTTTTTACAATAAGGTTCCATAGCATATATTAAGATTATCATTTCCTAAGTTAAAAACTACTTTAAAAATGTTTTGAAAAGTCATATTACAAAATTGAAGACTAGATATCGTGTTAGATAAAGATGTATAGACGACATGGCTCCAGATTCCGTCCAAATTTGATTCAAAGTTTATTCCATAGCCTTTAAGTTTATTTGAAAAGAGCAATCTCAAAAGTTCTTGCTCGTTCTTTTCAGGGAAGTCAGCAATGTGAGCGAGCAGTAGCTCAAAAGTAGCTTATATTTGACATTTTCAAGTGTAAATTTATTTTACCTATGGAATAAATGATCTTTGACTTTAACTTTGAAATTATTTAAGAAACATAGTGTACAATGTAGAACAATTGAAATACCAATCATTGTTTTATGATGACACAGTAAACAATCTTGACTTGAACAAATATTCAATCCTATTATACCACTCAATTGCATATAAATAATCATGTTTCTAAGATGTAAACATATCTAGCAATTCAATAGTGGTGGAGAGGACAGATCCCTGAAGTCCCCCAGGATTAACACCATCTAGAGCTGAAATGTCACCAACCAAAACTTTAAACCAAAGGTGTGTTTTCATCGGTGTTTTCAACGGTCAATAAAAAAAGTATATTTAACAAACATAGTGTATAATGTAGAACAATTGAATACCAATCATTGTTTCATGATGACACACTTGATTTGAACCAATATTCAAGCCTATTACATCACACAATCATGTTTCTAAGATATAAACATGATCTAGCCATTTCAATTTTTATCAATCTCAATTTCAGTATAGCAGGAATGTGTATGGTTTTTAAGAATAAAACTAAATCAGCTTTTCATTTAATGTGAGTTGCTTCTTCAGGGTTTGCGCAACCCTTAGTCATCACCGCGACGGGCAATTCATCAATTGTGTTCATTTAGAACATGGAATCAATATTAACAGAATTAAAGGAATCTAGGATTTTCTTTACTTCGAAATTCTGTGCATATCATGTTCAAATGGCAACATTGGCTTACGAGATGCAGACACTACTCATCCTCTTCATGGTAGAATCTGCAGTCTGTGCTCGTACTTTGCTTGAAGTTGGACTTGTGTTTATTCTTCACTCCTAATTAGCATTCAGATACCACTCCTGCTCAATGCTACAAAAAAAAAAATAGAGTCGGCTCAACATTAGAGTAGCTGATGTCGAGTTGGCCGTTGATGTTATTTTATTTATAGGTAGATCTAGTCAAAAGGAAGCCAAAATTTTCAGTTCTGGGAATCCAAAACTTCAAGGAAGATTTTGGAGAAAAATTTTTTGAAAATCATGAAATCTAAAGCACAAAATGGCGACATAGCATCAACCCTTCCTGATAAATGAAATAAATTATGTAGTAATAGATACTTGTCGTCTTTTTATCAAAACAAGGAAAAGATTTTATACTTATAAATAGGTCGTATGGTAGAATTTTTGCCTACCCAAAAAAATGGGTGAGAACATTTAAAAAAAAAAGGACAGAGTGGAAAATTTTGATGGGTTTATTTTTTAAATATTTTTATGACTGGCGCCATACACATCAACAGTTTAACAGACAAAACATATTTTTATATCCTCTTATATTTCATTGCAGTACGAGAAGTGCAGAGATTGGATCTACAAATGGCGACAATGAGACAAGAACTCGAAACACTTAGAGAACTACAAAAAGAAACGTAAGTTCTTAATATGGCATTAAACTATTTGGAATATTTTTTCAGTTGATCGATTGCTTGCGTGAAATCGTACAGCAATTGGGAAGGTGAAACTGATATAGTGATCAAAGTATACACATTGAAGGTTATCCGTTTCGTACGTTCCTCCAATGGGAATTGAATGTGTATGTTTAAAAGTTTAAAATAACTCGTAGTATTGCTTGATGCAAGTGTAAAAAGTTACACTGTGTTTCATCTTTCAGGCACCTTCGGAGAATAAAACAGAAGAACCTGAAAAAGCGTCAGAAGAAACCGAACCCCGGTGGAGACATAGACACAGTGGACGCACCACAAAGTTATGCTTCAGACTCAGAGTATTTTACTGATTACCAATCTGTTCTTGGTGAGTTTCCTGCAGTATTCATTTAAAAAACTAAAAAACCCACCTCAAAAGAAATTACATCATACTGTCGTCCACTAACTAAAATGCGACCAAGTGACATGGTCAAATATTTGTTTTAAATAGCAATCAACAGAGCACAAAATTCTCTTTTAAAAATAGTTAAAATTAGTTAACGTGTTCGACTTATAGGAACTTACTCTTAACGATGCTTAGCTGAAATATCATTAACCTCCTAAAGCCCCATGTACATCACGATGTACATAATATGTGCAGTGATTCAGACCCGCATAATATTATTTCTATGATCACGTAACCGCTCAGTGTACATGTATTGCATTTAAATTTAGAGCTATATATTCCATATAACCTTAAGATATGTACAAAAATATGTTTTTTATACAAAAGTAAGGGTGTACTTGCTTGGACCTGAAGAATGTAAATATATTTAGTACAGTTTTTTTATGAACAAATCGTGCATCTGGTGATAAGCGACATACCTGTCCATAGCAGTTGCAGTGCTACCCAGAGACATAAATCACAAAGATCTAAGGGGCACTGCCACTGCGCCCGTCATCTTGAGACGCAAGTTGACAAGTCCCATGTGCCAGTAATTTCACTATATTGCTTACAGATCAAAACCGGAAAGCAGCAATGCTCACATTACTGCTTGGCAACAGAAATAGGGAAGGTGGCAGAACTTCCCTGAACTAACTCTTTCACATTGAGCTCTACTGCTATTTTATTTTTATTTAATGTACATAGGCCTTAGGAGGTTAAACAATTTCAATATTCTAAAACTGGGTTATGGTTTTTTATTATATCACAATAAAATATTTTGTCACTTAGCGCGGCTTGTTTTACTTAGCGGACGGCAGTATATCGTCGCCTTACTTTCTCAAATTCGTATCTTAAAGCACAAAGTTCCTGAAATGCAAAATATGGATTGTATATACAAATTTTGCAGCCTGATTTCACACGCTGGCTTTTACCTATTCTTAAATTAATGCGTCCAAATTCACTTTTTTTTTTCTTTCTATGTCGAAATTGCCAAGTTTACAGGGGAGTGTTTTAAGGTTTTGAATTCACTGAAATGAGTGTACGCACATGTGCCTTTAGCATTTCTATGCTTGTATTTCATTTCAGTGAATTCAAAACTTTAAAACGCTCCCCTGTAAACTTGTCAATTTCGACATACGATACGTTACGTAGAAGGGGTCGTTTTTTACGCATCTATCCAAATACAGGTACAGACGGAGAGATGGACAGCGAAGAGTTCTACGATGTGCACACAGACGAGGACGACGATACTCTTAGAGAAACAGCCAATGGACATGTTGGCATTTTGGACTTGGATGACGTATGTATAATCTGACACTTTTGTCATATTTGGCCTTAGAGTTAGGCCAAAGAAACTAAATTTTGTGAATTGTAAGGCGCGTTTTTTTGAGTTCTACTAACACATAATTATAATGCAAAGTCGAACCCCTTGGGTAAATTAGTAATACCAAAAGTCACTAGCTACTATAGACCATTTCACATGGGATGGGTACTGTGACATTACAAATTTTTACATTGCAGGCATACTGTTTTACTAATCTCTCCCCAGTTACAATTTTACATCACTTAATCTCTAGAAACTTCAAATCTCAAACGTCACCGTACCCATGCTATGTGAAATTAACTATAGAGGTGGTAATTATTACAACAGCAGCATACGGAATGCATTATTCTTATCTCTGGGAAGATATATGGTTTCCACATATATCTTCCACATATATCTTCCTTAGCTAGCAGATTAAGCTCTGCTGCATACGCAGTCCGTAGAATACGTGAGCTTACCGATGTTAGTGCTAGACCAGTTTACTATAGTTACTTCCATAGTATAATGTCGTACGGGATTCTCATGTGGGGTAAAGTGGCAGACATTCAAACCATATTTGTATTGCAAAAACGAGCGATTCGTTCTGTGTACCATTTAGGCTCTCGGGTTTCTCTCATAGAAAAGTTTTAGGATACTAATATCATGGCATCACAGTACATTTACTCAAATATTTTATATGCTCGTATAATCTCGGTACAGACTACTAAAAAAACGGACCTCAAAAGTACGTGGAATTACATATAATTACCAAGTTTTATTGAAATCGGTTACCGGAAAGAGCGCAAACCCGGATTCATCCCCTAGTTCGCCACTAAAATATAATAAAAATCGGTTCTCACTACTCAAAGTATATTGAGAGTGTATTGAATTGTTCATAACAAAATTTAGGCGCTATTTATAAAAATGAATCTTCATGCGTGAACAGCCACCCTTGGAGGTGGATGATTTTCTTCAAAATTAAATGGGACCACTATGGAGATACTCTCTTTCCAACAAAAAAATAATCATGATAATCGGTTCACAAATACCGGAGTTATCGCGTAACATACGTACAACAAACATACAATCGAATTGAGCAACTCCGCCTTTTTTTGAAGTCGGTTAAAAAATATACGTAATTTCAATAAGAAAGAAGTTAGCCACAATATTAAACTTAATATGAAATAAATAAATAAATATGAAATAGAGCTAAGTCCAAACTCATGGTACTACGAATTCGTATAACCAAGGTAAACAACTCTTTTATGGGGAACTGTATACGTTTTTACAATAATATTCCGGAGCATATATTAAGATTATCATTTCCTAAGTTTAAAAACTACAGCAAAAATATTTTGATTGAAAGTCATATTACAAAATTGAAGATTACGTGTTAGATAAAGATGTAAGGAAAGACGACATGATTCCAGATTCCACACAAATCTAATTCAAAATTTATTCCATAGCCTTTAAGTATATTTGAAATCAGCAATCCCAAGAGTTTCTTGCTCGCTCTTGAGCGTCCGCTGACTTCCCTGAGAAGAACGAGCAGAAAGAATACTTTTCCGCTACTTTTAAGCTACTGCTCGTTCACTACGCTTAGTGAACGAGCAGTAGCTCAAAAGTAGCTAAATGTGACGTTTTCAAGTATAAATTTATTTTACCTATGGAATAAACGATTCTTTGACTTCATTTCATTATAATGTATTAGATAGGTAGCAAAATTTATCAACTTGAATAATCTTCGTTACATAATCTGTGGGCTCAATAGATTTCGGAGCTAAAGAGCACGTCGATCTAAGGAACTCATTATGGAACAACTCTCTGTACTGCTGCTATTATAATGCCAATGCTCCCCTGATAAAATTTCGCTGTTTCTACGAAACGCCCAAGATTTGTTTTTTCAAACAAACCAAGTTTCGGGCCCTTTACAGGATTCGGACGATCCGGAAAGATCATTTCCAATGTGTAATAATTCCGAAAATCTAAGGACACGCCAGCTACGAAAGTTAGGCAATAAAGGGTCCATTTGACCATACATTTAAGTCTTATTTAGTTTTAATAGATTGATTTCTAATTAAAATAAAAAATTTCAGGATGTCGTAACTTCATCACCGAAGTTGTCGCCTAAGTCATCACCAAAGTCGTCACCAAAGTCATCACCAAGGAATGAAACATAGCTGACACGAGAAATAATAAGGTACATTTTTTGTTTTTCTATCAAAAGATAAAACTACAAAGATTTAAAACTTTCTATTAGATAATAATCTCAGTACAGAGTACTAAAAAAAACCCACATCAAAAGTCATTCATCCCCTAGTTTGCCACCCTTGGAGGTGGAATATGTTCTTCAAATTTAAATGGGACCACTACTAAGGTACCCTCTTTCGAAGAAAAAAAGAATACATACAAAAAAACTTTTTTGGAAGTCGGTTAAAAATATGATGCTAGTTTTAGATCTTTATTAAAATGTAATCTGAGGTCAAAATGACGGCGACGTAAATGCTCATTATTTTAAATCAAATCAAACTGACGTCGAAATAAATACTGATAATTTTATCTCAAATCAAAATGACGCCAAAGTAAAAGATCATTATTGTACTTCTGATCAAAATGACGGCGGCATAAATGATCATAATTTGATTTCGACCTATATGACAGCAACAATTTACAAGCTGAGTTACGTAGTTCGCCACGCTAATAAATTTCATAGAAATATTGTCTAAACCAATACTTTATTGCGCAGGCGTACACGCGTTCAAGTGTTCTCGCGTTCTGTACTTTTAGCGAAGTAACCGACGCGGTCGGATTGCCTTTTGTATTTCGCGCGAACACGGAACGAGCGAACGCGAAAACGCGTGAACGCGTGACCTGTGTCCTATAAACACCACCACCACAATCCATTGTTCATTTAAAAATTATTTCCATTCAAATTAATTTTCATTTTATACAGATCATTATTATTATTAACACTTGTAAGTTACTCATTAGATATGGATTCTTGTTGTCGGAAATAAATGGGTAATTCTTACAAAATCTTGAAATTCTTGTCCTTTTGGTTTATAAAAAAAAAGTATTTAATTCTTGCCGTAAAATTAATATTTAATATCAATGTAATCAATTGCTACTAATGCCTATATAAAATATTAATTAGTCTATTTAATTCTTAGGTTTTCGCGATTGTTACAAATAGGAAATGACATTATTTTCCGGATTTAAATCGCGTATATTTGTTTTTTCAAACACCGACGTTTGGGCCCTTTACAGGTCCCATGGTTAAGGTTGACTGAAGTGGTACAGTCATCAATCAGTTTAAGTTATTAATTAAATACCTTATTTTTCATTTTACAAAGAAAATATTCCAAATTACGTTTTACAAATTATTTTATTGATTGAATTTTTATTTAGTTAAATTTGTTATTAATTAATAATAGAAATTAGAATAAATTAAAATATATTATTTAGTACTGCAGTCTTATGTCTGTTTGGGATTATGGGATGGGAGAGGAAATACTGGATCCTAAATTGGTGGTACGGAGAAACTATCTTCCCTGTTGAAATTAGGATGTTTTTTTAATTTCAACGGCCTCTCGCAGCATCCCAGGTAGATAACGGACTTCTTTTGCCAGGACCTGATCATTGAATGAATGTTCATTGAATGTGTAGGTTTATCCATGACATGCTCGCAGACTGCAGACTTGTTTACGCGTCGGTGTTTAACATCAGCTATACGTTCTTTGACGCGGGTACAAATACTTCGCTTCGTTTGTCGAATATAAGAGAGACCGCACTCACAGTCAAGCTTGTAAACTGCTGCATTCTGCAAGGGGATGTTACATTTCGCGGGTCTCAGGAACTGAGAAATCTTCCTCAGAGGCTTGAAATAGGTCTTGATAGATGCACGCCTTAGGACTCTTCCGATCTTGTATGTGACACCTCTCACTTTACCATGGAACCTGTAAAGGGCCCGAAACGTCGGTTTGTTTCAAAAAACAAATACACGCGATTATAATCCGGAAATATAGTTTCATTTCCTAGTCTATTGAAATTTAAAACATAATATAAAAATGTCCCCAAAATCATTCCCTCACTATGTTCCATAATCAAACACGTTTTGTTTGTGCTTTAAATCAACACATTTAACAAAAATAACCTTAAAATTTTAAACATTCGATCAAATAAAATATGTTTTTGCAAAATTAAAGCTATCCTGTGGTAAAAACACGATAAATAAATAAATTAAAAAAATCGTTCCCTCACACTTTTACCTTCACTCGATGTGTGAACGCATTTTTAATCTTTGGTAAATGCGTTTTGTAAGTTTTTAAAAGTTATCAGCACTGTAAACGTTACAAAATGGCGAAATTCAACTTGTGTGTGTAAAGTTTCTACTACGAAAAGATTTAATTTAAAATCTAAAAGTTACATTTTAGACAGTCGTTCCCTCACATCATATAAAAAGAAGTTAAGTATTTGATTTGATTTATTAATTATTCACTCAAACGAGTTATTGGTAACAATAAGCTTACACAAAATATTAAGTCTAAAAGTAAGTTTATATCGCTATTTTTTCTTAGTTTACTTTGATTTCGTCATTCCCTCACCCTCAAATGTTCTGACTGCTCTATACATTTTCTTAAGAGTCATTTATTTTGGAGACCACTATATAATAAACAAAATATTTACATAAATACTATGAAATTGACAAAAAATAAATACTATTTCTTACTAAAAATTTTCATAAATATCGGAAGCACGAATTTCGAAATTTCATGAGAACTGCCCAAATATACAGACGGATAAAAAATCACTGGCCATTTTTTTTTCCTGTGCAGATTTTGTTGTTTTGTTTTGTTGTTTGATTCAGTAATAGAACACATTAGTGAATAAAACAAAAAAATCCCCACTTTTTTTATGTTCATATTTCCCAATAATTTCTATCGCGTGGTTACCTCAAACTAGTAAATAGAATTGAGCGATCAGCGTCGAGTTGTCTAGACGCCTAGGCGCCAGCACGTCGCGCCGCGCGACGACAGACCTGCGCTAACGCATCGCGCGTTAGTTTAATACTTTGTTGTCTCTTAATACATGAATTCGCGCGCTGACTCCGCCCACTGCCCCACACCATTCTTGTTGCTACAACAACGGCGTCTGCTATAATCATCGGGTGTCAATATTGTTCACAATTTTTCGGAAAACTGAAACGTCATAACTTATTCATTTGTTAAGTATTTAAAAAAAACCCCGAACATGTATTTTTTATTTCCATTATGCAGCCTTTAAAATGGTCAGTGGTTTTTTTATCACCCTGTATACATATTAATATAGACAAAAGTACAGAGAGCCGGGCGTCTGTCAATCGTACACTTTTAAATCTATCATCGAGTATAGTGCAATTACGCGTCACCGGCTCTGGATTATGAGTTTCTATTTCGGTAATCTAATGTCAAAATGTTAAAACCGCGTAAACGTCGTGGCAACCAAATTAGCGTGATTTACGGGAATCTATTATTATCAGTCCATTTACAATATAAAGTAATGCTTACTGTGCAAACTGAAAGAGCCATTGAAATAACAAAGTAATAACTAGGGATTTACCTCTCCTGTAAAATTTGGTTTACTGCAGATACGCGCCTTTTACCAATGTTACCTACGCATATTTGTCCGACACCATGTCAATTTTTTTACCAAAAATGTCTTACTTCTACACCTACATTGAAATAAGGCCGCCTATGTTGCTCTCTGTCTTTTGTATTTTCTTTCTTTTTGTATTTGGTTTTGTGTTTTTTAAGAGTATTTGTATTATATTGTAATTTGTTCTTTTTCAGATGATGTTAGCAGACTTAGAGTAGTCGGCAAAGGGACTCTAATCACTATAGCAGAACTTAGGAATAAAATAATGGGATAATAGTTTTTTTTTTAGTTAGGCTTGAATCCTGCCGATCTGTACCTAATCTGTATTGAGTTCTTAGGTTTTCGCGATTGTTACACATAGGAAATGAAACTATTTTTCCGGATTTAAATCGCGTATATTTGATTTTTCAATCAAACCGACGTTTCGGCCCCTTTACAGGTCCCATAGTCAACCGTGACCATTTAAATCCGGAAAAATAGTTTCATTTCCTATGTACCTAATCTGGTTTACTGATTTATAATCCGGTTATTATAAGAGCAATGACAGCTAAAACGACCATCCCAAAGTCCATTCGAATATTGGAAGAAGCGTTTTGCATGGCTCTTTCCAGCTCATTTTTGTTTTTCGTACAACTTCTGACTTGGCACTGACAGCTGCAGTTTCGGGGTGTTGTCAAAGGCTTCCCACCCTTTTAAGTCAATAACCTTTTAAGTGACAACTTGTCAGTTAGTGTGGATCACTATCTGTAACAATAAATTTTACTCATGTTAATGAAATTTCACCACTGCTCAACTAGTTGAGGTTGGGGTTGAATAGTAAAGCAAGGCGCAGAAAGCCGATAAACCCAATTACAAATATATATAACAGATACATAGAAGAATTTCATGGAACTGCTGACTCAACCTGTAGCCCAGTTAGCAGAGCGACGCTACGGTATAGCGTGGTTCAAGTCCTTCAACCTTGAAGAAATTTTTCTTTGTTCGATCTGTAGTTAAATATTTTTAGACCATCTGTCGACCTGTCAATGAGAGACGTTGTATTTTTTTTATTAAAGAAAAGAAAGACCAACTTGTCTGGCTAACTAGAATATAAAAGCATAACTAGAATATCCAGATGAATGCCCCTTAATCTGAATGCTTAATTTATATCTCCTACAGCCTTATCATAAGCAGAACGTCCAGTTTTGTCTATTCCCGCTCGTGCTAGGCGAACTAAATTATCTCTTTAAGTCATTCAGTGATTAACGAACGAACGAATTTGACAGGTTTTAAAAAAAACCTGTCAAATTCGTTTAGGTTTGCTTTTCTGAATGTATTCACAAGATTTATTTTATGGAAAGATTTGACTAAACTAAAATTACAATTAACTTTCAGAATTAATCATAATGTAACTTTAAAATATTCATCATCATCTTCAACTTCACCGACGGCTGGGTATGGGTCTTTCGTAGTTTGTGCCATCCATCACAACCTTGCATTAGTCGAATAATTTAAATATTGATTAATTAAAAATATAAGGCGCAAAATTTTATAGGAAGAAGAATAATTGGTGTGTGCAAAGTAGAGTAATTGGTGTGAGCAAAGTAAAATAATTGGTGTGGGTACAGATTTGCTTGATTTTTTAACGATTTTGTCTGATCACGTTTTTGTTTGATTTGATTGACAAAAAGTACAATGTCGATCGACCTTGCTAAAAGCATAATTGATGTGACCAATTGTCAAAGTGGGCGGTGTTCAAAGCTCTACAGCTTCGCTTTCTCAATTCCGAGTGTCTTGGCGCCGTTGTAGATTAAATCCAAGGTGACCAGTTGATATGTAGCAGAGCCATTCCATAGGTTCCATGGCAGCAGAACTCCATACACGGCCTGACTTGTGCTTGGTACAGCTGAAGCAACTGTCTCGGTGTGAAATAACCCCTCACCCCAGAAACAATTTCAAGCTTCCTGGCTGCATTTTTAGCCATAAATAGTAGTAACGCTAGCGTTAACACACAGGAACAGGTCTTAATTAATTAAATACTAACAATGTTAAATATGTGTGACCTTTGTGGGAGACTGGAGTCCATACTAGGCAACTTGACCTGTATTGCAGCTCAACTAGTTTTAAATAAAAACAAATGCACTGTTGGTATTGAAACGCAAATGATTTGTTTTAAATCTAGCAACACTACTATGCTAAAAATATCTAGCAACACTGTATGCTAAAAATATCTAGCAACACTATTATGCTAAAAATATCTAGCGGCTTTATTATTCTAAAAATATCTAGCAACACTAGTATGTTCACAATATTCAATAGACCTAATTAAAAAAATAGCTGTAATTGCTGTCACTAGCCTCTTCTACAGATCGACGTATATTAGGTCATTGAAATACCTTCTATTCGCTAGAAGCGCTTTGCTTCCTAATCCATATGGCAAAGAAATGGAATACACCACCACCACATAAATTATTTTCAGTAGGGACGGGGAGTATAAAAGTGTTATTTCCACTAAAATTATTTTATCATAGTGGAAATAAACTATTTCTGTTCATTTAATAACTTAAATAACTCTTCTCTTTAAAGGACCCGTGCCCAACTGTGAAACTTAAAAGTTGGCTGATGATGATCGAGTTCGTCATATTAAAATATTTTCACATTGGTGAACGGGTGAATGTATTGTATCTTAGAATACATTAGAATTAAATAAAAAAGAGAATAGAGCAACGTATATTCGGATTAAAGTTGATGCGTATATCAGCATCCGCAGCATCTGTATAAAGCAGGATCTACATTTGTATCGAACAACGGTATCGGTTTCATACACACAACACAAGCCATCATGTCAGATTGCGACACTTTAATATAAATCTAATCTATGAAACCGACACCGTTCTGACGGGCCACGACACGACACGTTACGTCAGACAAATGTAAATGCGGCTTAGATTAAAATATCAGCATCTGCATTCCTCGATGCTGATATTCATAGCGTATGATCGAGTCGTGACATAACCTAAAATACACGCTGGAATAATGTACAAACATTCCACAAAAAAACTGTAAACCGAAAAAGCACCTCAGCTGTGGTTTTTAAAATATATTATAGTTTGGTAAAATTCCAGAACGGTTAAACTAGGCAGATTGTTTTCATGCAGAATTGATTCTTTTATTATAAATGTCACAAAATCATTGAAATAATACTTTATTACAACACCAAAGAAAATAGAAAGCTTTTTCATGTAGTTAGATAGATTCAGTGGGATGTAAATTTTTCGCGATTTTTTTAAGTACCTAAAATTAGCACCTGCTGATGTGCAACAACCCTGATTCGGATATAGTATTGTAGATAGGATAATTTGCTTCACAGAGGCACTTAATTTAGTAGTACCTCCAGCCGTGAGACGCCATGTATACTTCTATATAAAAAAAGGTAGACAAAGAACGATTAGTGGAGGTTCGCTTTTGAAAGCCGCGTAGGCCCGTACGTCTCACTCAGTTGCACTAAAGTGTCAGTTACGGCAGTGAGAAGAGAGACGACTAAGGTTGATTACACAAGGCACCGTAACATAGTGGTACAGCCGCTGTCGCATGTGTAGCCTTTGCAGTCGCATACACATACTTTCACACACGCAACGCAGCGGCGGCGTTTCTAGTTTCAGTATGACGCCGAAAAACGCCCCTAGTGCGACGCCATGTGCAATCAGCCGTAATTATATATTATACAACCGGACACATAATTATACCTCTACTACTACTAGATTATACCTGTGTTTTACAAATTCAAATTTGTAACAAGTACATTCGAAAATTAAGTTCAATATACCAGCTTCGAAATTGGGTAATTTTCAGGTTTTTTTTCTCTATCTTATTTCGGTGGCAATTTTCATTATTTATATATTCGAGTATATTATTGTAAAATATTAATTAATATTTTAGGGTACTGCACTAGAGTATTAAGTACTTCATGACAATATTCTAGAACATTTCAATAATAAAAATTGCCACCAAAATTAATTAGATTACCCAATTGCATTAATAGTCTTTGATCAATTCAACATTTTTTAAGCACTTTATATTAAAAATGCAAGGTGGCTCGAATTAAGTGTATGTATAAAAAATACATTTTGTTAATATCGAATAATTTTACACAGGTTGTTTTAAAAAACACAAAGGGCTATAACAGTCTTTCTATAAAAATCTATATAATGGCTTGTCTGTATTAAAAGTAGGTGTTGAAATAAATAAAGCTCAAATATGTTATGTTAAAATAGCCTATGGACCATTATTTCGAATAATTAGAAGTTCTAACATTCCGTAATGTCATATAATGATGTCGGGTAAGGTAGGGTGAATCGACACTCAAGGATTTAGTATGGTTACGCATTTTTATCTATACAGGGTGACAATGAGATTCGGCTATACTTCAGCTTACTACAACATACTTTATAAAAAAATTTACGCAATATAAACAGTTTTGTTTCATCATGAAAAAATATGGAAAGTTTTTTTATTATGCTACATACAACAAACGAACAAATTCCATATTGACCTCGAGGTCAATTGGGATTTTTTTGTTACCGTTCTGTGACATGTGTAGTGAGTATTGGTAATAAGAAATTATATTTGATGCTCCACCTATTCATTTTGTGGCAGTATAACAAAAGCTCTTTCCAGCATCTTACAGAGTATATATTATTGTAAGAAATCCGTGACCTTAAGCACCGTTGTCTCTTCTGGAAACAATAAGGGGAAATTAGTTTCCAAAGCGAAACGTACCTAAGTTGTGTTTTGGAGTGGAGAGATGTCAAAATAATGAAATACTAATAAAAAGTTAATAAAAGCTCTTCGTTCCTTGTCATATAATGGGCCTGAAACTATAGAGGAATCTAGTTGATTTTATGTGATAAGTATCGATTCACCCCACCTTTTTTTTAATAGAAATTATAAATGTAATAATTCTTATTTGGTGCATTGTAGCTTTACAGTGTAGTTCCTATCCTAGCAAGTTTCGTAGCGGAATATTAGAGACACAGTATTCGTGGCACAACATTGGTAGTGCAACATTGGTGGCGCAACATTGCTCGTGTAACAAAAATGACACATTAAAAAAGTTAAAAAATAAACTATGTATTAAAGAATTTTAAAAATGTGTAAACGATTTCGTATTATAATTATGTTCGCAGTTGCAACTGAAAGAACCTTTATGTCGTGTTTGTAATAGATGTTATATACACATTTATACGAAACGTATTTAGATATATATTCTCCCCATTGACTGTACCTTACTTTGAGTGAAACTGGATTTTTCAATTTCATGAACTGATTTTTTTTTGTTTGTATGTAAATAAATAAATAAATTT